TGCTGCTGGTGAAGAGTGGCACCAGTGTCGTGCTGGGTGAGCGATCATCATAACCGGGCTCAACAGCATATAATGTTAGCTAATGGCAGAGGCAAAGAGACTGAGGAGGAAGCTAAGATGAGAAAAAGAGAGGGACCAAGCAACTCCCGGATGTTGACGAGGGCTTTGGGAAATAAAAGGCTCCAAGACAGACACTGAACTGGCATTCTTACATAATGTTGCTTTAACAGTAAGACAAAATATATATTCAGTTATTCTTATTTTAGTCGAAGAACATGCAGTTTTTTCAGCCCCAAACAATCCATCTCAGGGTACGCTGTATGTAGCCTGAGTGTCAAAACAACCTCCATTTTGCGGCACAATGCAAAGTTCTGAACAAGCACATAAATTATATTTGGTAGAGAAGTTGTCATCACCAAGGAATAATGTAGTTTGAGCCAACAAAAATCCATTTTCTGACACAAATGAGTAAAACTGAATGGGAGAGGTTATTGGGCACATTTGGATAAGCACAAGCTAGATTTTTTAAATTCTTTACAAGAGAATAATCTCTCTGCAAACTATCATTCTTGTACTTGCGAATCTTATTGTGTGGCCAAAATGTCCCATCACATGCTCGCAATAAAAGCACAAAATGTCCATCCATCCATCCATTCTCAACAGCTTATACTGTGTACAGGGTCGCGGGGGGCTGGAGCCAAACCCAGCTGCCATTGGGTGAAAGGCGGGGTATACCCTGGACAGGTCGCCAATAGCACAAAATGTAATTACATAAATATATGGACAAATTAAACCAAAACTATCTGTCTGCTAGATACCACAATAATAATATTATATGTTCTAAAAATATATGGGATCCTGGTGCAAAGCATAAATGTTTTTACCTCTGCATGTTAAGTAAATCTAAAACAGCTTTTTGACATTTTATGAGAGGAAAGTGAATATTTTAGCAGTTAATATTTTACATCCTAACCGACCAACACACTAAACTAGTAGACATTGTGTCTTTGTAGTAGAATAATAAATGCTGAGATGCAGATCCTGGATCTTATCAGTGAGACTCGTCTCCATAATAATTACTTGCAGTGGTCTGAGCTCACCACAGGGGGACAGTGTGGGCTGAGCAGTGTTTGGGTCAAGCAGCGTGTGTGTTGTTGATGCCTCTGTGTGTGTGTGTGGGCAGGAGGGGTTGAGTCAGGCTCTATATTTATACTTTATAAAAGTGTGTGTGTTCTAGAAAATGTGTGTGAGCATGGAGGGGCAGTCTGTGCTGTGACTTTTTCAGTGGGACACAGAAACCACAATATCCAAACACTGTAGCCCTGCCCAAACCATGTGGGTGTGCTGTGTAGGAGATAAATAAGAGAAAGAGAGGAGCTGGTTCAAGTTTTAATTAAAAACCCATTTCTCTGAGCAGGACAAATAGCACTACGTAATATTTCTGAGTAGGTTCAGAGTATTTACACTGAGAAAGTATCAAACGACAGCAGCATACTGCCTATGATTGATGATGACAACACTATATACAGTATCCACTTTTCTGATTTTAAGCATTTAAAAAGACCTCACTCACAATCACATTTCGTCCTAAAGGTGGATGTGGTTGAGGTCAGGGCTCTGTGCAGGCCAGTCACAACCATTTCTCTATAGAACTTGCTTTGTGCACTCTTTACTGAAATACATTGTGTGTTGTAGCATTTCTTTCTTTTGAAAAAAAAAGATCTGGTCCAAACCATTAAAACGAGCAACAGACCAAAAGTGCAGTATGTGAACATGGGTGTCTACTTACTTTTGGCCAAATAATGTCACTTCGTCAGTATAAAATGAAAAGTAAATTGATTTCTTGTACAGTAACTACAATGATATATATATATATAAGCTAAGGTTTGTGCTAAAAATCTGATTTTGAACCCACTATGGCTGAAAAACCTGAAGACAATTTAAAAATAAAACAAAAAGATAGAAATGGGTTATTTATGAAATGTTTAGATCACAAGGACATGAGAAGATCTTAGCTGCTGTCTAAAACCACTTCAAATAAGCTAACTAGCACATCATTTAGCATCATTTTTATGCTACCAGTGACAGTCCTAGGCTTCATGTTATTAGCTTCTCTCCCAGCCTCTTGTATTTTTCACTGGGCTTCAGTGTAACATCACTTAACCAGCAAAACTGTAGATCTTTGGCTCCATCCACTGATGTTTAACTTGACCTGCGCTGCCTCTGAGAGGTGTTTGTGTGACTAAAAGTCTTTGAGGTGGAAATAAACATAAAAATGTGTCAGACGGTGAGGGAGATGAAGACACAGAAAGAGAGACAGAAATGGAAAAGGTCAAGAGAGAGATAAGTACAGAGAGAAGGCAGGTGATGGATCAACCAGATCTTAGATTTCTTCACAGTGAAGACAGTGACCTGGACTTCTCCTTGTCGTCCTGGCTTTTCTGCTGTCTCTCAGGGGTCAGCAGCTCTGAGACGGCTGATAGCAGACTGTGAAAATCCCTCATAGTGGCTCTATCTGTCTCTTTCCTCCAGGATCCCCGGCCAGGCGGAGAGGAAGGCAGATAATCTCCATGGACACAGACTTGCCCACTGCCACTGACGACTAGCAAACTACAATCTAACGCCGACATGTTCGGAAACAGCAACAGCTTTCTGTGAAGCCAATGTCTGACCACCAAGATGCAGGCATCCATCGATTCTTTCAGTCAGCACTCTAATAGGTTAAACACTAAAATATCTTTATCTTACCATGTCAGTTGAGATGGTTTTGTCACTAAATCCAAAATGTAATTTGTACAAAGAGAAAAGTACTGTTGAGATAAAAAGATATTGAGTTGTTTCTGCAGCAGATAAGACTCCACTTTACTTGGACTTTTAGAAGTAAGTAAGTTGTATTGCAATAATAATAATAATAATAATAATATTCTACTGCATATTCTTTACATTTAGTATTTTTAAGCTGGTTAAGCAGGACTTTTTTTTGACAATTTACATCAATTCAAAGAATCCGCTTGGCAAAAAACCAAACACTTATAACTCTGTGATGACCAACTGTAAAGACACTTCTTTTCCACACTGTCAAAACACCAACTCTTCAGCAGCACTGATTTTTACTGATACTTTCTATTAAATTATTAATGTATAAATGTAACAATTTCCAGTGGGATTTAAATTCAATTGTACTACTTTTTGGGGGGGGATTATACTGTTTTGTTGTTTCATTATTATGATTCCCAGAAACTGGTATCTTCAGGAAAATATTGCAATAAATCAAGGATGGTCTATCTATCTAAAACCCCAAACTGTTCTATTTATTACTGACTACACCTGCTTTTACAGTAAAGGAGTGAGAATAGTGGTTAAATATCATTATCATCTATCTTTCTTTGCCCCATTTATTTTGAAATACTTGCTTTATGTAGTGACATTTTCAGCAGCGTGGCTCGATGCATTCAAATTTAGGACAGATATCCAAGGTTCCCAAAGCATGAGTCTTACTAACTTTGGTAATCCCTTGATATGTTCTCGAGCACCACCAGCAGGTCACAGTTTTCTTTTATGAAGTGAAATATCTCAAAATATACATGATGGATTGATACAACATTGCACAGACATTTATGATTACCAGATGATGTATCCCCTAACTACAACTCTACTCTAACTTTTCCTGCAGCACCACAATCGAGTCTAAATTGTAATTTATCCAATACCTTGGTTCATTAAATACCTGCAGAACTTATGACAGTTCCATGAGCCTCAATTGTACTTTATTTTTAGTGCTAATTAGCAAATACATGCTAAACTAATTTGGTGAGCATGGTAAAAATTATACTTGCTAAACCTCATCATGTTGGCATTATCATTGTGTACATGCTAGCAAAAAAGACGACAGGGCGTGACAGTAAGGTTTTTAAGGTGACATATTTAAAAAGGATTATTTTGTTTGAGACCTTTTTCCCCCAGTGGGTGTCAGGAGATTGACAGAAAACACAGCGTGACATAATGCATGCACGGTTTTTAAAAAAACACTCCATTCAGGCAAAATTAAATAACCTGAAATCTCTCACAAAAGCAAATTAAAACTTCATGTTTACTGTGATGGAAAATGTAGCTTGTAGTCTTTTAGAGCCAGTTTTCACATTACTTGCAGATTATGAAGGGCATAAAAATGAGCCATGATATTTCTAGCTGTAATATTCTTGTATTATGTGAATATGTAACGGATATTACAGGGTTTTATTAGGTGGGAGTCGGGGGCATCTTTGTTCATAGAGTCATTTTGATCCTAACCTAAACCTTCAAATCCAACTGTTTCAAGAAGGAATGGATCACACATCCCCCCCAGCTCAGATAGCCCTTCAACATCTCGCCCCCATTACAGAACGAATCCATCATCACATCACATGTCCTCTCGCACACACACACAAACACACACAGAGCAGCTGTAGCTAAGTTTAGCCTCCATCAGGTCATGGAGGAATATTCAGCCAAGAGAGAAACACTGTTGGTGTTTTAACAACCATACGGGAGGGTTGGACATTGTGTGGGAAAGATTAAAAACACTCCGCAGTTTCAAAAAGGCGTGAGTCTGTTGTTTTTCCCTCTGTCATTGCGAGTACTGTGTGTGCGTTGAATTTTGAACTAGTGTGACTCTTCCATCAAACACAAATACACACTCATCTCTGAGTGTGAGCCAGCATCTACTCAGAGACGCTGATCATAACTCACTACAAAATGTACGTTGCAGGGAACGCTGCAAGAACTTGTAAGTGTGCAATAAAGCAATGTTGTTTGCATATTAATGTGTGTGTGTTTGTTTAAGTGTGTGTGTCAGACAGACGACCACACAGTAGCTCAACATTAATCAGACGGCTGTAAACACGCTGGACAACTCGGAGCCTGATAGTGAAAACAAATCCTTCCTTTATCATCCCCTCTCTTTTCTCTTGCTCCCACCACCCTCTCCTATCCCTGCATAAAAATATTAGCATGACATCATTCTGCATGATTTTGAAGCAGCACAGGTCATAATAAGGTTAAATGCCTCCCAAAAGGGCACGGCTTACTCTAATACCAAAATGCTGCGCGCTACTTTTGACATTGCTAAAATCTTTGACAGCTTGGCAAAACTTCCTCGGGTTTGATATGTACCTCGCGTTGAATCCGCCCGAGCTGTGTCTGTGTTTCTATTCCTGTCACCATGGAGATGAGGGCACAGATAGGTGCCGTGGCTCGCAGACTACAGCAGCTGTATTTACCAATGAGTTCATCTGCAGGGATAGACACTAAAAATCCTGCCAGACTCCCTCTGTGCATGTGCGAGCGTTTATCCGTGCATCTGCTCTCTTGCCGGGTTGGTGTGTGTACGTTGGATGAATGTGTTTGGGTGATACTCCCTCCCGGACGTGGAGGAAAGGGCAGCCGGACAAACACAAAGCCAACAGAGGTGGGACATCACAGACAGAGACAGGAGGCTTTGGGACGGAACACGTTTCAGGGCCAAAGGAGGGGGTGGGGGTGCACAAGGCAGTTGTTAACCTTCGTATCATGGTGTCACATGCCTGCCGCTGCAGACAGAGCAGAACAAAAACACAGATGGAGAGACCTCGACTAAGGACACGCACTTGACTGTCTTTTCCACTCAACTCTGCTTTCTCTTCCCCTTCCCTCATTTCCTGCTTCTTGCTGTCTGTTATCCTGTTTTCCTACTAACGTCTGATGTTCTTTTGTGCAGCTTGTCAGCTACATCTTTTTTTGACAACACTTACAGCTGCTTTTCCTTTGTCTTTCTGCTTTTAATGTTCCTTCCTCTTACTTCCTGCCATTTCCTTCTCACCTTCCTGACTAAGCCTTTACTCTAACGTGCTACTAATCCTCTTTTTGACTGTTTCTCAGAAGCTTTCTATTCAATCTATTTCCTGCCTCCCTTCTCTCCGTGGCTCCTATCTTTTGGATGGATAGCTACTTCCTCCTCTACAGTTCCTCCCAAAGAACCGGACTTCTCTCTGGTTTCCAGCGTCTGCGCTCGCAGAGAAAGATGTGTGATGTCGTTCTAGAGGCCGGCGGTGTATCGTTCCCTTGTCATCGCGCCCTTTTGGCCAGCTCGAGCGAATATTTTTGGGCTCTATTTGGAGAGACTACTTCAGAGCGATTAGCGAGCTCCATTAGCCTCCCAGCGCTAACGTCTCAGGGTTTAGACACCATTCTAGACTTCCTTTACTCCAGCTGGCTCAGCGTATCACCATCTACACTTCCTGCCGTCTTGGAGGCAGCCAGGTACTTGCAGGTGGAGCCGGCCGTGTCAATATGCGAGCGCTTTATTACTGATGGTTTAAGCGCTGAGAATTGCTGTTGCTATGCTAACCTGGCCGAGCATCACGCCCTCTCAGATGCACTTGAAGCTGCCAATCAAACCATCGCTATGGAGATGGGGACATTGCTGCGGGAAAGCAGGGATGACCTTCTAAGTCTGAACATCCAATCATTGATGGCGATCCTCGACGCTGACGAGATACCTGGTGTCCAAGAGGTGGATCTCATAAGGCTGGCTCTGGATTGGCTGAATGAGAATGGGCCTCTTCCCCTGCTGAAATCAAATCTTCTGCTGAGTCGTCTGCGCTTCGGATTGGTCGCCCCCTCTGACCTCACCAAACTCAGCCTCGCCCACAGAGCCATGGCCACACCTTTAATCAGAAGTCAGCTGACTCGGGCAATGGAGTACCACAGGCTGGGTTCAACTCAGCCCATCAGACAGACCAGACAGTCAACACTTAGAGCGTCGCCCAATCGTGTGCTGCTTGTGGGTGGAGGATCCAGCCCTGATTGGCCAGAACAGCAGATCCTGGCGTTTGATCCCAGAAGCAGGAAGTTTTCATCTCTGAGCTCCAGTCTCCCTCTGAGGCTGAGGAATCACTGTGTGTGCTCGGTGGGAGGTTTTCTCTTCGTGATTGGCGGAGAGGAAGTGAAAGAAGGAGACGAGGATGGGAAAAAGTCTGTCACAATTGCAACATCCAACCAGGTGTGGCGCTACGATCCTCGTTTTGACCGCTGGGAGAAGGTGGAGTCCATGCTGGAGATGCGGGCGCAGTTCACCTGCTGTGTGGTTGAGGAGGTCATTTATGCCATCGGGGGACAACACACACTACCAGACACCAACGCACACACCTCCCTAGCTTCTGTTGAGTTTTATGACATGGCCACTGGAGCATGGAGGAGAGGAGCAGCGATGCCTCGCCCCTTATGTGGCCACGCTTCCACTGTGCTCGAAAACTGCATCTATGTGTCCGGCGGTCTACCGAGCAATCACAGCAGCATCCATGGCAGTAACCATGGTGATAACCCGGATGAGCACAGAGAAAGCAGCAGAGACGTCCTGTTCTGGGACACCAAAGGCAGAGTCTGGGAGAGGCGAGCGTCCATGTCCATCGCCAGGTTCGGTCACCGCCTTGCAACTGTCCACGGCCACATCTACGCGCTGCTGGGAAGGTACGAGCCTTTCTGCGATATCGAACAATACGATTCGAAGTCAGACCACTGGACCCGCCTTCGACCGCTTCTCATTGGCTCCTTCAACTATGGGATGGTGTCAATGCCTTGTGGGAATCTGCTGGTATTTGGAGGGAGAAGATGGAGCGACGGACAGGAGGTGATAGTGAGGAGTGTGTTGGAGTATGATACAAAGAAAGATCGCTGGAGAGAGATCTGTCAGCTGCCCAGACCTCTCACTGGGACTGAGTGCACACTGCTGCCCCTGCCAGACTAAAGTGCACAGGTCATAAGACATTTTTAACATGAAAGTGAGACAGTTTCACTTATAGGTGCAACATAGTCTCAAAATGGCAGAGCACATGTTAAAATGATGGTGGGATTATATCATGAATTGTACTCTCAGTTTTAATGTGTTTGTCATATAAAAGAGGTTACTCAACAGTTTAGTTCAGGGAAACAAACTATTGGGTTTCAGCCTCGAAACCACAGTTTCTAGTTTCTTATTTCTGGATATTTACCTAGGAAAATATTTCAAAAGGGTGAATTTAAAATAAAATACGTTTTCCTAACCTAATCTATTTAGTATTTAATGAAATAGTTTGGGAAATACACTTCTACCAGTTCTACCTAAGTTTGATTAGAAGAGTGATACCTCTCTGATCCATGTCTGTTCAATATAAAGTTATTAACAGGAGAGTATAAAGCACATGACCTCCCTGTGCAACTTCAACTTTTTAGACTTTGGTTTTTGCATGGATAAATTAGTGAGAATTACAGGGGCTTGCAGGCAGATTACTATGTTACCACTGGACAGAGCTAAGCTAGCTGTTTTTCCAGTTACCAGTCTTAATGCTAAGCTAAGCTACTCCACTACTTCTTATAGGAGCAGTTCAACGTTTTGGGTAATACATTTATGAGTTTTTGCAGTGTTAGATGATATATAACCATGACACAATTAGCCAAGGTTAACAGAAAGAACATAACCTGTTGTAAAACCACAATGTACGTTATGTTTCAAGCCTTTATGGTAAGCTAAGCTACTTTACTACTACTTATAGGAGCAGTTTGACTTTTGGGATGTAAACCTCCTTATACTTTTCTTTACTTCCCGAAAGTTAGATGAGAAGATTGATTGACTCTCATGTCTGTGTGCTAAATATAAAGCTAGAGGCAGCAGACAGTTAGCGCTTAGCATAAAGAACAGGACTTCCTGTAAAACCATGTAGGCCAACTGTCATTTTTGAAGTTCAGGTTTTACATGAACAAGATGTAACGTATTAAGTTTATTGTTCCCTTCAGACACAGACAAGCTTTTTCCTAGTTTCCAGTCTTTATGCTGAGCTAAGCTAACCATCTCCTGGTTTCAGCTAACAGAGCATTAGAGTGATTCATTTAAGAGTTACATAATTAAACAGGCTCTGCTGGGGCATTTTATTATTGTTATAATTTATAATTTTTGCGCATGCCCACGATCCTTCACACTGATCTGACAGATTGTTGGAAAGGACTAACTTATTTATACTTTTAAGTATTTAGCGGATACAGTCCCTGAGAGCAAATTACAATGACTGTAACAGTAGAACAAGCTTAAAGTTTAAAAGGAAATCAGGAAAAATGACAAGAAGCAACCACTGGTGAGAAGTGATGTATGCAAGGTATTTGGCCAGTGATATTCCTGTGACCGAATGTGACAACGTTCTATGAACAGGAATAAAACAAGAGCTAAGGAGACCGATAAGGAGGATTTTGAGAATAAGTAGGGAGAGGTAAAGAGATTTAGTGGGAAGAAGGTAATTCTTGAACAGATGAGTTTAAGCCAGCTTGCCGAGGCTATCACACATAAGAATGAACAGAGAAAACGTCGAGGCAGGAGATAAGGAGATGAAGGTGGAGGAGGGCATACAAACAACAGAAAAGCTAAGATGAATATTTTATGGGAGTTGTAGATAAAAGTTCCCTGCACGTTGCTTTCCTGTTTATTGACTAGTGATAAATAATTTAAGTTTTCTATAAAATAGATATAGAAATAGAAGCAAACCAAGGCTACTGAGTGACCTTTTTTCTGTCTTGTTTTCTTTTTTCACCCATTTCCATCTGCACACACAACCAAATGGACAAAGTAGGTTAAAGCTGCAGAAAAAAATAAATGGAAAAACAGAAAAAGCATTCACATGAAATCCTATGATTAGTGGGTAAGAGCTAGGTAACCTGCTGGAGTTCTTTATTAATGAGCTTTGGTGTGTTCATTTAATCCCGAATATACACTGTGCTGTCTGCAAAAACATTATTTATTTAACATGTTTTATTATGTTTTAATGCAATATTGGATTCAAAATGAATTGGGTGCCTCGTTATATCCCCTAATGATGAAACTATGTATGAAAGAACGTCAATTTTTTCCTGGTACTAACTTATAATACAGGCAACTTAAAATATTTTATATACAAATAGACTTTTCAGTTGCCTATTATTGTCGAAACATTGTTCTATTTTAATGTCCATTTTGTTTTTGCAGCATTGTACAGTTAAACATTCCAATTGGTAAATATTATGAAGTATTGAATATGTATTATTAATACTGATAGATTAAATAAAACGCAGAACAAGATCATGAAACACTTAAAAATCAATCATACATTTATTCATTTAGCTGACACTTTTATACAAAGCAACTTCTAATTGTTAAGTATGTCAGAGGTCGCATGCCTCTAGAGCAACTAGGGGTAAAGTGTCTTGCTCAGATGGAGGATGTGTCATAGAGGGAATTGAACCGGGGTCTCCTCACACTAAAGACATGTGCCTTATCCGCAGCTCCATCACCACCTACTGTTAAGAACCAATAAAACTGAATTGCCAAAGATTTTAGCTTTGATGTGTCTCGTTCTCCATTTGAAAAACGTGAGTCATTTGAACAAAGTATGTTAATATTTTACAACCTGGCTTAACATAGAGAACCAGCAGAAGAACAGTTGATGATAAAGTTTTGATAGGATTAAGTTAGGACATCCAGCTTAGCTAAAATAAATTAGGACATTCTGCTGCACAATTTACCTAAATATGAACTTAATGACTTAATAGGAAATGGGATGTGATTGATAATAATGTTGACCTTTAATCTTTGATTAATTGGGCAGACATTTAGTTCTATAGCACCATCTCTTCAAATTTAATTAAATCCTTTTCTGTTCAAATACAACAAACATGTATTGTTCATATGATTAGTGTACACGGTGTCACCATTATTCACTATGTAGACTATGGCCAAAAGTACCTGAAAACTTTCTTTGCAGTATTTGAAGTTTCTTTTCAGAATTTTCTGTGTTTCTAAGGGAGGAAACGCACAGAACTGTGTCAGTAGCAATGGTGGAAGAAGTATTCAGATCCTTTACTGAAGTAATACCACGCTGAAATTACTCCACTCCAAGTAGAACTCCTGCATTGAAAACCTTACTTAAGTAAAAGTATTATTAGCTAAATTTACTTGAAGTATCAAAAGTTAAAGTACTCATAGTGCAGTAAAATGTTCCCTCTCAGTGTTTCACTATTATATCTTGTGTTTCTGGATTAATATTACTGCTGCATTAATGTGTATGTTGCATTTTACAGCTGTATGATGTTTAAAGTTGAGCTAATTTTATTATTATTCCTTTATATCCTGTTGGGTAGTTTTATCTACAGCCCATAAGATCAACATATGTTTGTAGCGTCGCTGTCCAGTGAGAACCACGTATCTCTAAAAGCTAAACTTTTCCATCTGATCCAAGGTTTAAATTGTTTATGTAGCCTTTCTCAACCCATAAACGAACACTTCATACTTCAGTTTATCCGAAACATTCAAATTCAAAATCACCACATTTGGAGATACATGGTTTTCACTGGACAAGGGAATGGCATGAAAAAATTGTAATTTGAAAGAGTAAAAGTACAAGTGCCTCAATAGTACAGTACTTTAAGTAAATGTACTTAGTTACACTGCACCACTGGACAGTTGTGGTTGCTATAGCAACTGAACACCCAACTGAAACCAAGTGATAGTGCTAAATTAGTCGTGCTGCAGGAGACGTTTGAGCTCTTGCTCAGCTGTGATTGCAGCATTGAGGGGAAGGGGACAGGATGAGGATGAGGGAAAGAGGATGGTCAACTGGGATCTCTGCTGGTCTATCTCTCTCTCTCTCTGTCTCCCTTGTTGACAGAGACGGTGCAGCAGCTGTTACCGATGCTTAACATCCCTCCCTACATCCTGTCAGCATCCTCTGCTTTCTCACCGTCCACCCAAACAAACAAACCACAAATACACCTTCATCCAAATGACCACACTTTATTGGATCCACCCTCTTCTCTCGACAGAACACGCAGGAAGGAATCACATAAATAAATACTGTTATTTTACCATAATTTATAGTTTGAACATTAAAACAATCTTCACTCAACCGCCCCAAAAAAAAAAACTGATAGATTTTGAGAACATCATCCATGACACTTAGTTTGCACTCTATAAAGAGAGATCTACTGTATCTACAGTTTTCAAACACAAAAACAGAAAAAGAATATTGTGTTTATCTACAACAAAGACATGCTACTACAACCAACCACGGGCAGCAGCATAGAAAGAGCATTCAAACTGTCTGTGTAGTGTGTTTACTGGTGTGTGTGTGTGTGTGTGTGTGTGTGTGTTTGTGTCTATGATTGCTTTCATAGTTTTTGCAGTGTCTCTGAGTATAAACTCATTTTCACGCAGCGTACAATTAACAAACTAATATATTTTTATTAGATCCATATTTCAATTCCTATTCAAATATTTCCTCATGTTCTTTATGTGGCATGCAGGAAACAGACAGCCAAACGGCCTCTGAGGAAAAACCCACCCTTACAAACGATTACACTGTTAGATAAAATATATCAATATGTGACGTTCGGAAAGTTTCAGTTGTTAGTCTACTTTCCTCACTTATTACTTTAATTAGAGGGCATTTTTATGTTTCTTTGGATGGTATTCTATGATTCCCAGAACTGTTGACTCATACATTTTTGGTTGCCATGGTAATTATATCTCAGGTGTTGAAGTGAGAATCAGGTTGCCCATGAAAGGCGCTGAAAATCAAAAGGAATAAAAGAAAATGTTTCATTTTTCTGAAAACCAGAGCAGGAGTCACATTTCCCTAATTCTTAGAGTTGCAGCAGACCCTTTGTTAGAGGATGTATCAGGAGGGTTTTCTCCGCTGCTTAGACCGACTTGCGGTCTAAGCTGCTTTTACTGCTTTTACCAAGATTGTAGCGCAAACAATCTGGATTCAAATTGAATAAGAGGAAATAAATATTGTACGATAAAGATCAGGTTTGACTGGTGTGACAGACGGGAAATCAAAAAAGCAAAACCATTTTTAATTTAGGTTAATTTTTTATTTTCCATTTAATTATTTTATTAGTATTTTATACTGCACTGTAACTTTTACTGTCCTGTTTTTTTCGGGGTACAGTCTTTCTAGAATCAGATATTCATTACTTTTTAAGCTAAGTTGGTTTCTCCTCTCTCATTAGAAGTCAGACCAAGTCTTACCAGGGCCAAGTAGAATCTCTAGTATAGTTCTCCGCTGTCAGGGATGCCGAGTAGAGCTAAACGTTTTTCTTCGCTGTTTTGACTGCTTTTACCAAGACTGTAGCACAAATGATCGTAAATAGCAGGAAATATCGTACGAGGTTTGACTGGTGTGATCAAAAAAGCAAACAATGAAAGGCGAAAAGCCTGATTATTCGTAACCCACTAGTATTATGGGTGAACAAATTAACCTGTTTTTATTTTCTATACGACTTTTTTTATATTTCCTTATGTTGCTTTTATGTTTTATGTTTTTTCTTTGAATTGGCTTCTTGCTGAAATGTGCTACACAAATAAACTTGTCTTGCCTTTTATTTAGGGATGCGCCGATCCGACTTTTTCAGTCCTGATACTGATACCAATACCTGGGCCACGGGGTATCAGCCGATACCAGCGTCTGATTAATAAATTGTATTCCTCACTGGGAATCGTTTTTCTATGTGTAAGGCAGCATCAGACTCTCCTAGCAAATATTCAGTTCTACTGACGCACTGCTGTCGCATCAACATAACTGAATTGAACAGATCGGCCCCCTTGTCACCACTACTCGATCCAGCTATTTGAGTCAGTTTTGGGTATCTGATCGGTGCATCCCTAGTTTCATAATGAAGTTCTGCTAAAGTTAATATTCTGATAAATGTGTATTTCTTTGCCAAAGTTAGTTTTGAACAAAATTGCATGTTTGAATTTTGCATTTCCTTTACGATATATCATGACAATGAGTAATAAAATATATTACAGTATCTTTATGCAGGTATTTGAGGACTTACAGAGGCCTCGGTTGACCATGAGCTATGGTTTTTAAAGGATATAATTATTATAAAACAATAATAAAAACAAGAATGATGTGTGATGCATTACAATATTTCACTGGAGAGGTTTCATGTTTCCATCGAAGTGATTTAAAGGAGATATTCTGTCTTATAAATGGATTGATGAGCTCTAATAAAAGCAATTCGTAGCAAATGTAAACATAAATGAATGGCATCAATGATTAGACCCCATATAGTCTTGTGTTTTATAGTCACATTGCTGGAGGTAAAGTGATACTGACTGAAAACGAACAGGGAAAGTGGCATCATCATTTGTGCAAGAAAACGTAAAAAAACACCAAGACGTGGACTTAATAGCCGTTTGGAAACAGTGTTAAGTGTTTTAGGGTGGACTTTTCCTTTAAATGCCTATTCCAGGAGTGTGCATGCTTCAGGTCCAGCCCAGCACAGTACGTAATTCTACCAAAACCAGCACAAACAAAAGTCTAAAACTAGATAGAAACTGAGACTAGTTGATTTAAAAAAGACCTGCGCTAACTTGTTCTCTGCTGTAACACTCACTGTACAGAAAATATCATCATCATCATCAAGTATAAGGCTTGATACAATATAATGTATGTCACTTGGTGGCTATTAGACTTGTCTATGAGACACTGTGCACTCAGTATAAACATGGCACAACAAGCAGGATGAGATACTGTTAATGGCCGCTCATGAAGATACTATTCTGAGATCTGCGTCCATGTCAGGAGGAACAACCTGATGTGCAATGTCAAGTGTTGTTGCTTCTTTATATGGCGTTTTCCATGGAGAGCATTTGAAGAGCACAAAAGCTAACATGTAATACTTAAGAATCAGTTTATCATCCGCCCCCGAGCCAGCTGGAGTGGCACAACCAATCAGCTCGTAGATTGATGTAATATGAGGGCACACGCAGGCGTCTCCTCAGAAAGCTGTCATGCTGCACTTGTACACTGCGGCTGCTGAAAGCATATCAGGATGTTAGGTCAAGTTGTCCCTGCTGTGATGCAAAACCTTCGGCGATCGGATGCATCAAAAAAACATGTCAGCTGCAGTTTGTTCAACTCTTTCCAGAGGCGGGAGATGAGAGCAACTTGTGCGTGTGTGTGTGTGTGTTTGTAGTACTCGTCAGACGTGGGTCTCAATGTAGGAGTGTGTGTGAGAAAGTGAGGGGGTGAGGGGGGGCCCGGGGTCTGATTCAGTGGTCGAGTCTGGCTCCTGAGAGAACAGCTCCTGATAGGCTCTTTTCCACTCCTGGAACTCTGCCGACGACAGCTGGGGATTGGCCAACAGCCTGTCAATCAGCGCTAGCTCCCCCTCCCTGTCCTATGGGTGGGATGCAGAAACACAGGAGGGGCTGGTCACTTTCTTACTTTTATCATTTTAAACCACTAAAGCTTTAAAAACGCAGACACACGTGAAGCAGGACACACACTTAAGGGGATGCACTAAGTTTCGGGGAGATTTCACACTTGAAGAACCCAGAGAACATCCATTTGTTCTTGGTAGATTATTTATTCTGTTTTTTTTAAGATGTAACGTGAAAAGTTAGAGAGTTTGACAACTACAACTACTCTAATGCTAAATGGTAAATATTAGGAAGACTTTATAAAGGGTTCAGAAGTTGTAACAAACGGCATTATTAATGATTAAAAAATCATTTACCAATGCTTTTTTAGATATGAGCCATAAATAAGAACAGTGTTTGGGTTGCGAGGTTTTCAAAAATGCCGGAGCAATGGACCACGTTCATTTGTTAACAACTTAGTAATATTTAAAAATAAGACGTGATGGATTACAGTATACGAAGCCTTTATTAACGGCTTATTAACATTTGTAACTGCAGTTGACTTACTAAAAGAAAGTGACAAACCTTTATTAATACATTTCAATATTTCATTGCTGCCCACTGAAAATCATGTATCTCCAAATTTTGTGAGTTGAATTTTTCAGGTAAACTGAAGGATTACTGCTCCTTTATAGGTTTAGAAAATTCTACTTGTATGTACGCATCTATCATAATCCGCAAATGCATCATCACACAGCTGAAAACAGGGCTATTCTCTTGACTCATGGAAACGTTTTGGAGATATGTGGTTTTCACAGGACAGCAACATTACTGCAGACTAAATTTCTTATTAGAAAAAACACACGACTGGTTATTAACAACTTACTATAACTGCAGACTTGGTGGCTTGAGTTGTTCTTCATGGCTTATAATTGATCTACAAAGCATTAGAGAGTGATTTATTGAGCATTAGAAAACCATTACTTACAATTAATAAACACTTTAAAAGGGTGCTTTTTGAGTATATGTTAGAAACAGACAAATAAAGGTTAATGTTTAATTTAAAAAAAATCATTGTTCAGTCGATCAATATTTGAAATAGCCAGATATAAACCTACCTGGATAAACTATAATGAGTTATTGATATTTCAATGTTAGATAGAAAAGTTTTAGATGAATAAAAAACAAGTTTTCTAACGTTAAAAAGCTGATCACTCTTACTGAAGTGACACAAATCAAAATATTGGGATACTGTATGCAGATTGATTTAATCAAGTGAAGTCAAGACACCAGAAAACAGATGTGTCTCCTGACTTTAATACTGTTCACGGCACATCTAAAGCAGCACAGTGATCCAGCCGTAACGGAAATATTAAAACATAACATGAACCTCCTGTTGGGTTATTGTCTGCTACAACAGATGTTCTGCATCCCTACAGCTATGAAGAGTACACTTCTTCTTCTTAAATTGCCATCTAGACTGTAGCTTGTTGTTTTGGTTCAATTTTGATCCATAAAAGATACAGAGAAAATGTCTTTGTTGTTTCCACAGCAACCGCTGCAGATGACTTGATGATGCCTGAACACACGAACACAACGTGATCCCTTGTAAGCAGCAATTCAGGGTAGGGTCTACCAGGGTCACATGGATGACTTGGGTGTCTACTGTACACTCTCATTATTTGACATTTAAAATAATCTCCCCCCCCCAAAACGTGGTGTATTCCTTTAAGAGACGCCAGACAGGGAACAAACATGTAAGTTCCTCCACAAAGCCTGTACCAAAACCACAGACCCTTGCAAAAAAAAGCTACTGCAGCTAGACGAACAAGCGACAAAGCCCACCATCCAACCATCCCCGCCCACGTACACGGAGGAAGCAACAAAGATACAAACTCTAAAAAGACAAAAAATAAATAAATAAATAAAAACAAACAGCCACAGTAAAAGAGCCCATTCACAGGCACCCAACCCAGAAATATAACCACTGCTCATATCGCATGAAGCCACAGACAGCTGCTTGACAAAACTCTACTAAAAAGACTCAAACCAAACCGAGGAGACAGACGGGGACACACGACGGCACTGAAACTTCCAAGACAGACGCATTTTCTGGCGTGTGTTCGTGTGCACATCAGGGTCAGAAATTCACTGTGTATTACAGCTAGAATGCACATGAAAATTTGTATCCCTCTACAAAATAATCCATTTCACCCTGCTCACATTTAATGTGGTTAGGCACATTTATGTGTGAATGTGATTACCGTAACCCAATGAGCCAAGAAAAATTTAATAACAAAAGGTAATTCTATCAGTCCACACAGGATAAGATGAAACTAGCGGATTTGGGTCAGAATATGGCAGAGATTTCAGTTATAAAATATTAGCACCACAGAGTGAGTTACATCAGAAAATTCCAACCTCTCACAAACTAAAGCATTAATAAAGGGTGAAAGAATAGCTTGTGAACAAAGAAAAGGGCAAATTGCACCATCTTCTTCTGTGAGCATTGCAACAGAACAGTGGGATGTCCGATATGAGTGAGATAATAATGAGGCAGAATACAAATTAAACTTGTAATCCTTAAGACTTTTATGAAATCAGATCCGGTTTTTGACGTTATTTTATAGCCGATCTTTGTTGCGATAGCCATTTAATGTACTTTCATGTAGATTCAATAATTATCTCTATCTCAGTATTAAATATCTATTACTGTTAGTGGTGGACTCTGCCACTAAGATTCACATTGCCTTCACGCAGAAGGGATTCACAGGACTACTGCTCACTCTCCTACAGACGTATTCAAGCTTTTATTAGGTCACTGCTAATGCAAACAAACATTTCCTACTGCCGCTAGTACACATTAAAAACCGGCTAAACATGTCCTGCTTTTTGTCTTTTGTGAAGCACTCACAGGAAACGCAATGTAGATTAGCCCTGACAGCAATTTTAGATCGAAAGATTTGTCCACAAAACAAGACAACGGGCACTTTTATGCATTTTTTTGACAGCAGATATATTTAAAATATTGCAGGAGGCAATGGAACAAGAAAGAGCAGCCACACCTCTAACTCCTCATTTCCTGATGCCTTCTTGTTGTGTGGAAACAACATGAGTTTGTTTGGCTGCTCTTTCGTTGTATTTCTGACAAGTAGCTGCTCTGCGAGTGCTTGCTGTGGTTTTTAAACCGCACTTGCTGACACTACCACTAGTGGTTTTCTCCAAACTCCCAGGATGGAAATCTTAAGGATTACAACTTTAATATAAAACAAATCTTACAAGCAATGAGTTCAATTAAATCTTAATAAAGGGCTGAAAATGTACTGAAATATAATTTAATTGTTAAGTGTTTGAGTGTGCACATTTATGCCCATATATTGCACAGGTGTCTTTGTGTGTGCATCAGTGTGTGAACCAACCTTCAGCGTGGACGTCATGATGCGGAGGCGGTGCAGACGCTCGTTGAGCTGAGGGTCGGCGGCCCGTCGGAGGAAGGACTGCCTGAACTCTGACTGACCTTTGCCCTCCGACCCGCGGCCTAGAGGACACACCCCGCCCTGCTCGCACGCCCGAAACAGGTCGCCCAGGGATGCGCCCTCGCTGCCGCCTTCACACAGTCAAAGAAAAAGGCAGAGTAGCACACTTAATGGTGATTTAAACCCTCAGCCGCTCTGCCATTGACAAGTTTTGAAGTTAGAGGCTAAAGAGTTGTCACAAAGCTGATTAGATTGAGTTATATCTCAGAGCAGCCACTGGAGGACAGCAGCACATAACCTCAACACTTTGACTATAAATGACAATAAATCCTGTTCCCTTCATCCTCAGAGACACCCTCTCTACTGTGGCGGTTTTATTTCGCTGTTTGCCTATTTAAATGACAAATCATACGATTATTATATGTCCTTGTTCATGTTTCTGTTACTCTCTATTATTTATTATTTTAGATTGGCAGTTATCTTTCTGTACGCCGCCGGGCTCACCTTGGCAACAAGTGCACCATTGTCTCATTAACCTCATTAGATCAGTTTATGACTGGCGTGTGTGTTGTCCTACTCGATTTAAATGATGATGATTTAAATGGAAATGTGTCTGCCTGAGAGCGTTTTTATTTCTGGCACATGTGCTGACGTCAATGTCTTCACCTTAAAAAAAAAAGAAAAAAAAGAACTTCAGTCTCTTGCGGCTGTCATTCGATGTGAGACACATTTTTCCTTCCTACTCTTACCTGACGGCCACCCACCCATACATTATGACGCTACATGTATTCCCTTGGTGCTCTTTCTCCTCTTGCTTTGTTTCCCAGTACATGCATGTTCCTGACTAAACTCACCGTTGTGCGTTTGCTGTTCTTTCGCAGGGGGAGCGAGGAGTGTGTGTAGGTTGCTGTCTCGTGGAAGTGTGAAGCTGCGAGGTTTCCCTCCCTGGGTTGCCATAGGAATCAGCCTCTGCATCGCCACGGGCAAAGGGACATTCCTCTGTGCAGGAAGAGTGTAAACTGCTCCGGCCATCATAGTCCCACCGCCCGGACCGGGCTCGGCGAAGACGGCGTCCTCTGTAACGGGAAGAGAACATGAGGCGTTACATTTTCTGTGTCACAATATTGGCTGTAAAATCAATTCAGCATTATTCATTTTTAACAGAATGTGAAGAACTATACATATAAAACATACTGCACTTAGGCTTTATAGCTCATGCTGTAAATTTTTGCACATTTCTTGTTAATTATCCTGTATATTGTTTGTATTAGTATAATAGTGTAATTGTATATGCTTGTACGTTCTTAATGTCTTTACTTTTTTTATATTTATAGTTCTATATTTATGTTCATGTGGACAATATATACCAAGGCAAATTCTTCGTATGTGAAAATATACTTGGCATAAACCCGATTTTGATTCTGATTCTTCAAATAAAAATCAACCAAATATATTAAATATTCACCTTAAACCTCTCCAGCAACTTGTATATTTATTCCTATACTTTAGGGATGATGGGGTGTTGAAAGTACAGCAGCAACAAACGGACAAACTTGCAAAATACATTTGTCAGTGTCAAATATTCACGTGTTATTAGGAAACTCAACAAAAAAATACAGTGTCCTTTTTCAGGATACTGTATTTTAAAGGGTGTAAACAATTTTTTTCATGCTTGTTGAATGAACCATAAACAATCAATGAACATGCAACTGTGGAATTATCGTTAAGACCCTAACAGCATACAGATGGTAGGCAATTAAGGTCACAGTTATGAAATCTTAGAACTCTAAAGAGACCTTTCTACTGACTCTGGAAAACACAAAAGAAAGATGCGCAGGGTCCCGGCTCATCTGCGTGAACGTGCCTTAGGCATGCTCCAAGGAGGCATTAAGACTGACGATGTTGCCAGGGCAATAAATTGCAATGTCTGTACTATGAGATGCCTAAGAAAGCACTACAGGGAGATAGGAAGGACAGCTGATCGTCCTCGCAGAGGCAGCCCACATGTGACAACACCTGCACGGGACGACGGCGCCACACCGGATATCGATTGTTACTTTTTATTTTGACCCCTCCTTTGTTCAGGGACACATTTTTCCGTTTCTGTTACTCACATCTTTGTTCAATTCATGTCTTAAGTGTTGAATGTTTTTATGTTCATACAAATATTAACACATGTGAAGTTTGCTGAAAAGAAAAGAAGTTGTAAGGAAGAAGATGTTGAGTATATATATGTAGCTTGCAACGCTACACTTAATCCTCTTAGCAAATTCAGTTAAGACTTAAAATTCTTTTTAATGTACAGAGAGAACATTGTTTCATCCAGACTCTTTGACCTGAATGTAACGGTTATGCACGAGAGGCACAAACTGAGGCTCCTTCAACCTCTAACAGTCAATCAGTTCAAACATTTTATCAAAACTTGCTGGATCCACAAAGCATCTGGTTTAACTGTGTGTTACCTAGTGGTCCAGTTTGTAGGTAGTGCAGTCCAGCCTCAGTCAGTGGTGTCTCAATCAGGTCCTGCCAGGAACGTCTCTGAGATGAGGAAGAGCGGCCCGGAGACCCCGTCTCACTGCTGCCCCCTGCGGGACTGGACCGGTACTACAGGAAACAGTAACAGGGTATAAAAGTTTTTTTCTGATTGACCAGCGTGAGACTTGTCGACTAGCATTATCCAGCGGTAACATTATTGTTTACTGTATATAGCATAAGTGCAAACATTGTTGGTTATGCATTTTATTTGCATTTGGACCCATAGGAAGAGGGGATCCAAATTAACAATTAACAATCCAAAGGAAGAAGATACTCATGTCTTATTCACAAAAGCTTATTAGTAGTAATTTTTACTTCAAATAACACATTGTTCTGATTTGTTTCACTATTTTAATCCACTTCACTTTTTCTTGTGAAAAAGCATGGCACCTTAAAACAATATATTTTTGTTAAATCTGTATGAATTTTAAAAACTCCTTTCTCAAACTTCTGAATTTGGTGAATGTAAAATCATAAATAACCAACGAGAAAAAAAAAACAAAGAGCTGTGAGCGGCCCCTCGAGTCTTTGCTCGTCTTCCCGCTGACTCTTATAGCTTTGGGGCTAAAAATGTAAATTTTGGCCTGTGGAACCAAATCCATTAAAATAATTTCTAATCAAGAGTCCCTACTGGTAGTATGAATCAGCTAACTGTGTGCCAATTTCATTGTGACATTACATTGTGTGCAAATGTGACATTTTAGTCTGATAACACCCCAAAAGCAAACACTGTCCAAAATGGAGGGCGTTCACTCTCCAGGAAACATGAATGACATTTTTTGCTGTATAGTGGTACTAAACAAAAGGACAAGGGGATCATACAAAATATTAGCATTAATTGTTTGAGTGGCTAAAATATTCACGGCAGAATTAATGTAAATGAGGCCTTTAGCAGTCAAGATATCTTCTGACAGACTGACACGCACCTCCACAGGATCACATCTGTACTGCACGTCGCTGCTGCTGCTGCCTCCGGGCTTTCTCCCACTGTGCGTGGTCCCTCCCCCTAGAGGACCAGGATGGTACTGCGGCTCTGCAGCCACCGCGGGGGGGTCGCCACAGAGGAAGTCCTCCTGCGAAGAGCGAGACCGTGACGTCTCCGTGGAAGACAGTCGAGTGGTCCGGCCTTCCAAGTAGGCACTCATCTGATATAGAGAGAGGACAGAGTTAAAATGTGGCAGACGTCAATTGATCATCTCTTTGAATTATAATGACACACTTCAAAAAAGAAATTCATCCGGCGAGGGAGCCAGATGACTGCCAAGGAGGCAGGGTGATGATTGAATAAGTATGTGGGGGAGAAAATAAGAGACAGGAAGATGTAAATGAAGAGATGAGTGTTTGGACACATGAGTGGAAATGAGTTTGTTTGTTGAAAAGACTCTTTATAAAAAGGATTCTCAAATATTATCTAAAAAAGACTGTGTCTGGTGTCTAAAAACTGTTGTTTTAGCTTTTCATTTTATTCTGGGCTAAAAAATACATTTAATGTGGAGCAAAGCACTGTGACGGACAATTATAGCATCAATTATACCTAATTTAGCCCTACCACTCCCTGTTGGCTAAATGGGCAATAAAGTTGACAGTTAAAATGGACTGCGGAGGAGCACTGAGCATGATTTTTACCTTCAAGTACAGTATGTACTTTACATGAGCGTGCAATACAGTCATGTGTGTGACTCACAGATGGAGGCCGTGGGTAGGTATCGTATGGAGGTGGGGGACTGTCCTGTTTGGGGCTGGAGGTGGTGTCTTCCTCATGTTCACTCTCGCTCCAGTAATCTGCAGGGAAACCCACACACAGTCAGAAACACCATCCATATCTATCCATATGTGCATCCAGGAAATCTACACAAATATCCTAAAAATACCACAGGAAGTAAACTCTAAGTTGTGAAGTGCTGTTCATCATGTCACTGAATAAACCCTCACCCTGCTCCTGGCGTATCCTCTCACGCTCGGCGTAGCCCACAGCGGCCATGTTGAGACGACTCAGCCATCTTAACAAAAGGAAGGAACAGCCAGAAGGAAATTCAGGTTTATATTTACGGATTTATATAGGACATAAACAAAAACTCTTATTTTCTCTTATTTTAATGTGAAAAAAGAAAGAAAGAAGGAACAGAACATTGTAAAAGTCTAGAAATATCCAGACAACCCTGAAGGAAATTCATAATGAAACCACACTTCAAATCTGAATTTATCTTAAATTCAAAGAGTATGCCGCTGATTTAGCTTTGCACTACAACATTATCTGAGTCAACGTGGAAAAAGTATAAAAACCCATTCAGCATATCATCTTTTTATTCCATGCATTCTTCTTCCCTGTCAAAACCTGGCCTACATTACCCACAATGCAACACGATGGCAAACAACTCCGGTTGGAGATTCAGGTGTGTTATGCTAGCAGTGGTTACTGTAGCTTCGAGCTGCTAGTCTCAGATTTCATACAGATCCCTCTTGAGCCACTAAAGACTTTATACAACTTTTAAATGTGCAGTAGTACTCCTCAACACCTGTAAACAGACTTTCAATGTGTAAAATCGATGGCATTCCCCTTTAATTCATTGGAAAAAATTAAATAAATAAGCCCACATCACTCCAATGGTGAGAAAGAGGACCAGTGAGACTTTATCCTTTAAGCTATGGTGAATCATATTTATGTTTGTTAGATGAGAAGACTGATACCACGCACCGCCAGGAAACGACTCCATTAGCTTAGCATAAAGACTGGAACAAGGGGGAAACAGCTAGCCTGGCTCTGTCCAGAGGTAACAAAACCCCCCGACCAGCACCTACAAAGCTCACTAATTAACACGATGTATCTTGTTTGTTTAATCCAAAGTGTAAAAACAATAAATTGTGTGTGGTTTTATAGCCAGGCTAGCTGTTTCCCCTGCATCCAGTCTTTAAGCTAAGCTAAGCTAAGCTAAGCTAAGCAAAGCGGCAGCTTCTTCTCATTTAACTCTCAGCAAGAAAGAGAATATTCATTTTTGCAAAATGTCAAACTAGAAAGGTCTTAAAGACTAAATTCTCTATTTTTCTTGTTTTCATTTATATTCAACCTATCACAACTTTGTTAAATATTTTATTATTTTACTTTGAAATTCACTTGAAACTAGATTTTAGAAATGATTAACAAAACCCTCTCTGTAGTAAATAGTATGTAAATTACAGCTTGGAGAGCCTTTACACAGGTTGAAACTGGAACCTCTATGGAAATATCTTGCAAATGATGTATTTCACACACATCACTTCCCAAATTAAAACAGGCCTTCTTTTTATCATCAAACGAGAAACAAATTTGTTTTGTGGTTTGGGGAAAGCAAACAGGAAGCTGCACTCTTGCCACGCAGCTGGAAATTTGCCCTTCTGCATGACCTTCATCCGTGTTTAGCACATGCTGGGTTACCTGTTCATGTCATCCACTCCATCTGCTGCAAAGTAGAAACTCTTGACCTTGGGGTGACATGCTTTGAAAGCACTAGAGAGACGTGGGGGGAACAGAGGGAGATATTTTTGCAATCAAACATACAGAAGAGTGTTTAAACTGCAGATGCACAAGTAAATACACATAAATATGCAATAGACTTCCATGATGCACTTACTACTTCTTGCGACATTCGCTGGCCCGGTCGATCTTAAACTCTGGAAGACTAACAAAACCCTCTGCCTTCTCATCCTGAACAGAAAGAGAATTAAAATAAAGGAAGAGAAATATCTTTTACTTTACTACTCAGGCAAAATCTTCCTGACTGATCCTGCAGTTGTAATACTCTTGCATAAAGTTTAACTTCAGCGTAACTTCTATACAGTGTTTGTATAACAAACATACTGCAGCTATTACAAAAACTTACATAGCTCCTGTTACAGCAAGCAGAGAGTAGGACAAATTTCATCATTACCTTTTTTTTGTTTCAGATCTCTACTTTCTTAAACACTATGAAATATGTCACCATTTTGAGAAACTGACACTTGAAATAAAAATTTTGAACATCTAGTGTCAATAAAAATTCAGGCAACTGGACAGAAAAGGAGAAAAACAGAGACATGCCTCCTCATTGATGTACCAGTACAGGCAGTTGTCCTTCAGCACAAACCAGTACTTCTTCCACTTCTGAGAGAAGTAACCCTTTGCATCTCTCTTTCTCCACAGCCAGCCCTCACAGTCTCCTCTGCCCAGCGCCTTGCAGGAGACACGCCTCCGACTCAGGGAGGCCAAACTCCGTCCTGGAACAACAGGGAGGAAACGTGAAAGCGCCGTTGACAGAGATAATTTAAATCAGAAAATGAACACAAAGCATGTGTTGATAGCAGGAAAATTGTCATTCAAACGGCAGAGCACAGTACTAATGCTGCTTATAAGTGCTCACTTTTTCATAGCAGCATGAATAAAAGCATTCACAAAATGCCTCATCCTAATGTAGCAATAATTCTTGGCAAGAGTTCAGTCTCTGGATTTGACAGAACACTGGTGCACTGCAGCAAGGTAAGAGGTGTTTGATAAAAAAAAATGTTTTTTTTCCCTTCTGGCATAAAAGCCCTGTAACATTTTTCACAGCAGGCTCCTCATTAGAGATTACTGGGGAAACTTGGCTCAGAGTTGAGGGCCGCCAAGAAACTTTTATTGTGCTGTATCAAAAGTCTCACGACTTTTAAGGGGAAATACAATTCAATACTCCATTTATTTCTGTGGCAATGAAAAGTGCAGCTTATAGTATATCTTTAAACGAAACAACTTTCTTCCGCAGAAGCTAGATGGAAGAAAACTAAAGCTCAAACATGCAGTCTGAAAAGTTTTAAGCCTAAAGAGACTGTAGATAATTAATAGGTTAAATACTCTGATGTAGAGGAAACTGTACATCCTGGAAATGGTTTTCACTTTCAATTCATTTTCTGTGCAGCAGCGGCCTGATACCATCACCAATTTGAGTTTTGACTTAAGGAGAAACTTATTCATTTTAGAAAATGAAGCTTGCCTCAGCCCAGACCAAGAGGGGTAACTAATATTTCATTACTTATTTGATAAGGGTGCTACTTGGAGAATTTAAATCATCAATAAATCATATTATCACATTCATTTTTCAAACTTTGGTCGAATAGCTGTAAACAAACACGGCCGTCGCCCGAAAAGTGCAGATGGAGCTAAAGCTTTTTAGAGCTTCTCACGATGGCAGATGGTGAAACAAGTGAAAAAAAAATCTCTTCCAACATGTTGATCCTTGTTAGTGTGGTGAGAGGGAAAAAAAAAAGCTTTGGTCAAAGAGGCAAAGAAACTGATAGCAGGGAGTAGGAGAGAAGACAATTTGGGATAAAATCATCTAAACAAGAGGAAGGAAAACAATTTATGGGATTTAGCATTTTGATAAACACTCTCTGACAAAGGTGAGATAAAATATACCTGAACCGTGGTCTCATTTGTTTGAAGAAATAAAACAAAAAGTAATGAAAGAACAGTTTGAAAATACTACATATTACACTTTTAATGCCCTTCTGACATAAAGAAAAGCTGAATCACTGGATTTTCATCTCGAAATGTTCATGTGGACTGAGAGTACAGTATATAGCAAACTGATTGAAAGCTGCCTCGTCTGCAGTCTGGACTGAAAATCTGTGAAATAAGTACGATGTGTTAAAATGCAAATCCAGTGGTCTCTGCACAAAATGTGAGAAAATGTGTTTCCTGACGATGAAATGATTCTGCTGTGGAGACTCAAGCTGAAGCAGATAATAATTTGACAACTCCAGCAGGATAAATTCCCAACTCGCTGCATATGGATGGCTGAGGTCAGTGAGGTTTTTATTTACATCTCACCAAATAAAATAATAAAGATGCTGTGATTATGTTACCAACCAGTGTCTTTTTGCCTATACATAAACATGTGAAAATGTGCCAACAGCACTAATATGACTACAATACTGACAATTTGATGAACTATACAGTATTTAAAAAGCAAATATTAGCTACTTTTCTTTGTTTCATATCAATGTCAATAGTTTTTTTTAGGTTCTGAGCATTTGGTTGGTCAAATCATCATGGTGATTGTCACATTTCTGGCCATTTGAAAGATCAAAAGAACTCATTGATAAATCTAAAATCAACACAAATAGATAATCATTAGTTACAGGGCTGACAATAAATCAACTCAAACAAAATATAAGTAAATATTAACTATATTGCCAGCCCTATGTACCAATGTAGAGAGTGATACTGTGAATAAAAAGCAGTAAGGTCTGTAGAACAGCTCTGTGTAATTAAAGAATCATGATAGTCATCTAAAAATAAAAATACTAGCAAAAGATAAATAAATATCAAGATAAATAAAATTAAATGCACACTTTATTTTGCAGTTTTGTATAGTTTCCTAGAAAGGCAGTGTTATGTCACTTATGTATGTAAAGTCATGGGGATGTTCATGGATGTTTTGTGGCATTAAATACGAGAGTAAATGCGCACACTTTGTTCAGTAATGCATTTCTAAGTAGTTACTTCCAATTACTTGGTTCCCATAAGTGTCTTTTAGTGTAGAGCAGGTCAGCTGCACATGCAAAAATATTAAAGTGGTTAAAAATGAACTTTTCATTGAAATAGGAACCCTTTTGCATTCAGAAGTGATTATATGAACAATATTTGCATATTAATAGATTCTGGACTTCGTTTTTGTGGAAAAAAACACATCAGACTCAAATTATTATGCAAAGCAGAGAATTTTCCTCATGTCTGGATGGGAAATGTGTCTATAGGCAAGTATACAATAGAGAATTAAGTTTCCAATAATAAAATAATAGTGAATGGATTTTTTGGGAGGTTAAAATAAAGCCTGTTATTTAATGGACATTCTTCTGGAAACCAATAAAGCCTCTCAGAATTGTATCTCTGATACCTATAATAAGGACCAAAGTATACTGTTTTGTCCTTGAAACTTTCTTAAGAATTATTAGCGAATTACGGACCTGTAAAATAAAGTGTTACAAAGATAATTGGTTCAACTGAAGCAGCAGCTGCTCTCATATTTTTCTACAACGTCCATTAGCTCAGCGTCCCTGAGAGAGGGAATGACCACAACTGGCAGGTGTTGGACTGCAGGGAAACCGAACAGGTGGCTTCTCTGCTTACCTTTATTCTTCTTCTTGGTCTTTGACTGCAGAGAGGAGGACTGTTGGTATGTCTGAGAGCGGGTTGGAAAGAAGAGAAGAAGAGGGAGGGTGAGTTGGAGAGAGCAGGCTGTCAGGATGAATCAGTGGCCTTTGTTTGCTGCAAAGAATCCTGGGATATAAAAGATGACAGATCTTAGGGAGCGGAGGAGAGGAGGCAGAAGGCACACAGATACAAAGGCAAACGCTCTTCCTCTCATTATCTCTTCCTCACACACACACACACACACATGTGGGGGTGGAAAAGTCTAACTCATGGAGGACTTTAGCAACACTCACACCTCTAAGCATAGAACAGAGGGAGGGGAGGGAAACTGTGGCACAACAGGACATTCAGGTGACGGAGGAAATGAGAGAAAAATGGAGCTCAGGGGCCTCGGGATTAAACAAAAAATTTCAGTAAGCAAACATGAAGGACAAACATCTGACAGAGGGGTTTTCAAGGTCTGATCATGCAGGCACTGTAGCTACATTATGGGCTACAACTGTGAGCCTGTATTTGTTTCCACTTTGGTAAATTGGGTTTGCAGTGCACCCATGGATGTACCAACAACTATCACTGGATAAAAGAAGAAAATTTGAAGATTCTCAGGCAAGTTCTGCAGTTAGAAGCGTCTTTATTATTCAGTGATTTCAGTGGATTTATGCGTGTTTATTCACGATGGACACCAGAGATAATATGTGTATCGGTCATGACTTCCTCCGCGCTCTCACTGTATGAAAACCTCTGATCTAAAACATTCAGCTCTGGACAGCATGTCTGGTGTATGCATGTGACCTCTCTCGGCAGGTCAGATGGGGCAACACACCAGCTCTGATGTCACGATATTACACATGTCAGAGCCTGGAGCTCGGCCACTCACAGCCCCCCGCTCAGCAAGACAGATGACACGGGCCCGCCCACACCCACTGACACGCCATCTGCCATCGCAGCAGCCATGCACACTGTAAACACACACTAAGGCGTGCACACAGACACGCATGCAAACACATTTAATTTCCAAAGAGATGCTGTCAAGATGTATAAGGTCAGCGCCGGCCAAACTGACTGTCTGGACCTGAGAGCTGCAAGCTCCGACGGACAGGCAGGGCGGACAGATGTCATGGAAGTGACAGGGGGTAATAACGAGTCAGCATTTGCTCACATCACACTTCACTACAGCACTTTTTCAAAAGGGGTAAAAGCTCAAATGTTCCCTATTTTCCCTCAAATCTTTAAATCAGAGAGACTGTTACGTCATTTAACTTGTTATAAGTTTTTACTTTGAGGAGGCAACTGATGGGAAAGTCAGGAGTTTCATAACCTTATTTGAGCTACATTATGCAACTACATAATGCAATCCTGAAAGCAATACCTGCAACTTAAGGTAGAAAAAACTGGATTGTTCACACTTGCTGGTACTCCTTCTTCAATTTTGACATCTTTAATGCTAAGAGCTCATTATGCTGTTTCAAACAATTTTCTTTAAAGAAACTGACATTTTGGGAAATACACTTATTTGCTTTCTTGCAGAGTCAGATGAGAATATGGGTGCAACTCTTACGCCTGTATGGTAGATAAGAAGCTGGAGCCAGTTGCTGGTGAGCTTAGCTTAGCGTAAAAGGCTGGAAACAGCTAGCCTGGCTCTGTCCAAGAGTAACAAAATCGTCATTCTCCTCTTCCTCCTCTCCATACTTCTCTCCCTGCTCTTCCTCCTCCTCCTCCTCCTCTCTGGTGTCCTAAAAAAGCTGCAGTAGATGGTGGTCCAAAACTGAATGAACTGACTCTGGTCCTTTTAACTATCTTTTGAAGCTTCTGATTAGTGTGTTATCAATTTTGACAGTTTGTGTTTCCACCTGGGTAGCTGTGTGCTAATTGAGCTCAACCTGTGCTGACTCGAGTAAACAATATTGAATGTAAATGCTCCGTATTTGTATAGCGCCTTTCTAGTCTTTTCGACCACTCAAAGCGCTTTTACACTACATTGCATTCACCATTCACACACTGAGCCTAAGTGCTTAAACAGAAACTAACATTCACTCATACACTGGAAAACAGCTGCCAGGGGGAAATTGAGGTTCAGTATCTTACCCAAGGACATATATTGAACCACTGACCTTCTGATTAACGGGCAACCCGCTCTACCTCCTGAGCCAGAGCCTGATCAGTCATGTCAGTGCTTTCCCAATGAGGCAATGACAAATGAAGGGATTTGTGTGTAGAGTTTAGAGAAATGGGTGTGCTGTGTGTGTGAGTTATGGTTTTGAATATTTAGTTCAAAAGCCTGCTTTTAGTGCAATTGAGAAAAAAAATGTAAAATGTTAAATCTATAAAAGTGTATAAATCATAAGTGGTGTTTTACATCCAGTCTTTAAGCTAATTTAGAAAGGGTGAAACCTAAAAGTGGTCAAAACTTATTTTAAAGAGGCAGAAGAGTTTAAGGGATTTAACAGGAAGGTTCAGTTCTTAAATTAAAAGAATCACAACTGACAGTCCTGTTGATGTAAAGAAAATAAATATGGTATGAAAAAGAAAAAAGAATTTTGACTTACGTGATAAATGGAGGCGGGGTCTCTCGGTGGAGATTCTCTCTGGCTTGTCTGGAGGACATAGTGGGAGGGGCTTTGGCTGTGGTGGCTCCGCCTCTTGGCGCGTTTGGCCGTGTCATTGGACCGCTTGCCCGGACGAGCTGTGTGGGACGAGTAGTCATCAGAGCCGATCCTCTCGTCCACGCCAGACATTCCTACGTAACGCATCAGTGATGCTTCTGTGAAATTAAATGGATGCTTTAGGATTTTTGAAGCTGGGGTGTATGAGGTACTTATACACAGTGTATTACATAGATGGTGGTTGGCGCGTCCCCAGTTTGGAGAAGCAGAGAGATGTATCGACACATAAGCTAAGCCATGTCCTGCCCAGCAAAATGTATTTTAGTCACCTAAAAGAAGGCCTACTGAAAAATACAGACGCCCCTCGCCTTGACATCTGGTTTTTAAGTTAGTGTTTATTTTTGCATATGGGTGAAAGTCGTGCGCTTGGTGTGTATATGTTTTGTCTGCTCTCTCTCTCTCTCTCTCTAGTAGAATCTGTGGGCGTAACATGGCTCTCTGGTTTTGGCGCCAGTCTTCGCCTGCATCCAGTCACACACCTGTCCCAGATTCCAATCAAGCCTGCTACATAAGGAGAGACCAGACAGCCAGATCCTGCTGGATTGTTGAGTCTACGCTAGTATGTGTAGAAACTGGTCCCAGCTGCTTGTTTGCTTGTGTTCTGAACATTTTGAAAGTTGAAAATACCTGGTTTTGCCTGCCTGTCTTTAGTAACGTCTTTAGGAGATTACACCGGACTTCCACTCAAATCCCAGATCAGCCAAGCACGTTCACTCTCTAAAAACTCTCACAGGACAAATCCCTAAGAATGCCATTCTCGCTCTCTTGCTAGCCTTGCCTGCCACAGCTCTGGACGCGAGCCATAAACCCCTCAGCTCCACTAATCTGCCTGCCACTTGCCTTTTTCTGTCTGTTTTAACAATAAATCACTTTAACTTGCTCTGTCTCCGGTCTGCTTCTGAGTTCCAGCCTAAATTTTGACATATATGCTATATTTAAAATATGTTCAGCACTTTACCTTGCGTAAGACAGTCATTTACTTCATGTAGTGCGTTGCCAATTTTCAACCTAGGAATACAGAAGTTTTAAGGTTGAGAAAACGTAGTACCAAAGGAAATGGCTGTCTGATGGCAAGATAAAGCACTGGAAATATTCTAAATTCTCATATAGCTTACATAGCTGAACTGATAAATAGATATTTCAGTGGGCTTTTAGGCGGCTAAAATACATTTTGCTGCAGACCTTGTAAACAGCAGTACATTACTAAGCTTCCGTACTGGTACAACTCTTTGCTATTCCAAAGTGGGGATGCGCTGACCGCCACCCCCTGCAGGTAATATACTGACAATGGATAAGTACCTCAAACATCCCCACTTCAAAAATCCAATCAAACCAGCACACAAATGCCAACTATATCAAGTTCACGTAAAACACACCAGACTTACATTATAGGTGATATTCTGAGGTAAAACCTTCACCTTTAGCTAAGTGTCCAAATTAGACTAATTCTTATATATGTTTCTATGGTATCTTGTGGTATTGATCTCTTTATCAGTGCTGCCTATCAAAGAATATTTTTATGTTTTAAGTTTTAATATATAAATTAACAGTTCCAAAAAGTCACATCTCTCAAAGATTCCTTAAAATTAGACCAGTAAAGTTTGAGATAAAACATTTCAGTTACAGACTTTGACCTTTAATCACAACATCATTATTAAGATAAGTTATTCTGAAAATAGAACAAAAATATCTGTAAAGCCTTCAGATGTGATCACATAAAAACACTGTGTCGTAAAGGCACTATGTCTTTTCAAAGTTAGATTTTTTTTTACCTTTTAGTTTTAGCGCCTCCATCAGATTAATTGGTGTAGTTTTAACACCAAAGTAAACAAGTATGTCCATTGTTCACATGTGAACAACAAAAGAGAGATTAGTTGTTGTCATCCAAAACTACGCATGCAACTGTTATACTTTCTATTCCACTGATCGCCAGTTCCTGGTGGAAAACATTTTATTAATGTGACAAAAAAGACTGCAAGCAAGCAAAACATGGATGTAAACAATGTATAACTGAAATGAAGGAAATGCACTCCGCCCATTGTCAGGCCTTAAAGTTATACAATATTTTAAGCTTATTTTTATTGTGAAACATGTGTCACTGTGTATGTTGCTAGCTAACCCCAGCTTTGTGCCTCTCTGTAGCATACACTCACAGATAAGTTAACCATCAGCTCCTCTAAAAAGATATTTAACCTGCCATGTCTGAAAAACCCAGAAGGCCATTTGAAGACTTTCACCACTGTTCTAACCTATCCAATATCATAATAAAAAAGAGAAGTTGCAACTCAGAAAGGTCAAACTCTGAAAAGACCTTCAGAACAACGGTTTCTCAAGGACCTTCTTCTTTAATGAACAATCTTTTAGAGAAACGGATGGTTACTTAAGTGATCCAAACGCAAAATGGGGATAGCTGCTGGTTCACTTTCAGCTAATGTCTGTACACTGTGGCTGTTTGGGGGTTAATTAACATAAACACAACGAGGATTAAGAGGATTTGCTTTAAACCACAAAATGTTGTTTGCCAGAAAATCATTGGCTGCTTGTTTGAAAAGTTGAAAAATGTTATCATTCTGTTGAGGAGACTCTCAAAATGAATGTGTCCTCAATATTTTTTGACCAACTTCCTCTTCAATGGGGAGGAAACTCCTGCTACCTCTGGTCTCGCTACCTCTGGTCTCTCAGAGGTCCTGCTACCTCTGGTCTCGCTACCTCTGGTCTCTCAGAGGTCCTGCTACCTCTGGTCTCTCAGAGGTCCTGCTACCTCTGGTCCTGCTACCTCTGGTCCTGCTACCTCTGGTCTCTCAGAGGTCCTGCTACCTCTGGTCCTGCTACCTCTGGTCTCTCAGAGGTCCTGCTACCTCTGGTCCTGCTACCTCTGGTCCTGCTACCTCTGGTCTCGCTACCTCTGGTCCCTCAGAGGTCCTGCTACCTCTGGTCCTGCTACCTCTGGTCTCTCAGAGGTCCTGCTACCTCTGGTCCTGCTACCTCTGGTCTCTCAGTGGTCCTGCTACCTCTGGTCCTGCTACCTCTGGTCCTGCTACCTCTGGTCTCTCAGAGGTCCTGCTACCTCTGGTCCCTCAGAGGTCCTGCTACCTCTGGTCCTGCTACCTCTGGTCTCTCAGAGGTCCTGCTACCTCTGGTCCTGCTACCTCTGGTCCTGCTACCTCTGGTCTCTCAGAGGTCCTGCTACCTCTGGTCCTGCTACCTCTGGTCCTGCTACCTCTGGTCTCTCAGAGGTCCTGCTACCTCTGGTCCCTCAGAGGTCCTGCTACCTCTGGTCCTGCTACCTCTGGTCCTGCTACCTCTGGTCCTGCCACCTCTGGTCCTGCTACCTCCGGTCTCGCTACCTCCGGTCTCGCTACCTCCGGTCTCGCTACCTCCGGTCTCTCTACCTCCGGTCTCGCTACCTCTGGTCTCGCTACCTCTTCTCCACATTTCCAACCCTGTCCTACCCTGGTTGCTAGGCAGCGGCCAGAGGAAAGTGAGACACCGAGCTGAGCTGCTGTCAGCGTCGCCATGGCAACTGTGTGAGTGATTCAGGTGGAGGTCAGGGAGACTCTTCTCTTTTTTTTTCTTCCTGTTTTTGCCTCCTCCTCACCCCTCCCGTCTCTCTATCGCTTTTATTCTTTCTCCCTTCAACGCCTGCCTTTCATTTCAGCTCTGCCTTTGTCTACCTTTTTTCCCCTCCTTCCCTTCCCATTTTCTCTTATTTCATCTCCCTGTGATGCTAATCACAGAGAGAATTAGAGAAGGGGATGGAGGTGCATTGATCCACACACGCACACTGATCTCTTCGTAATACAGAGAGACGGGAACATTTAACTGAATCTAACAGGCTAGTCAGGAGGTGCACACACACACACACACACACACATACATGCTCCACACGCCGGCACTCACCTCTGCGACTTTCTCTGTTAAGCTTGGCTGGATCTTCATAGTCGCCCACCCAGTTACACTCCACAGGCATGGAGATGGGCCTCAGCCTGCCTACAAGTGCACACACATAATTATAAAACTTAAATGTTCAGTGTCTAATATTTAGCAGGATCTTTTGACAGAAGCACATTATAATCTACATAACTATGTTTTCAGTGGTGTATAAAGACGTTACATAATGAACCGTTATGTGTTTATTACTTTAGAATGAGCCATTTCTACCTACATACTACCGCTGGTCCCTGTGTTTCTACTGTAGCCCAAACTACTTGGCAAACTACTCTACTCTAAGAAATTGATGTCGGCAATAGGCGGCCAGATTACTTTGATAGCGGCACTGTAAGATATCAACCATTGTGTCCCTGAGCAAGACACTTAACCCCTAGTTGCTCCAGAGGCAAGCAACCTCTGTATAGCAATTGTAAGTCGCTTTGGATAAAAGCGTCAGATAAATGTAATGTAACTTATAGTGCTGAATCAGATCTCAGTCATGACAGCAAATGTTAAAGACATAATCACTTCCTTTAAAATGATTGTGCCTACAAAATAAAAACGTGAGAACGTCTTTGCAGCAGTACTTTGTCGTCTTTAGTTGAGTTCATTCAGAAAACGTGAGATCAGATTACCCTGAATGAAAAACGGAGATATTGGGGAAATGAAAATAAATGTCCATAGGTTGATGTGGACCAATAGCCGGGAGGCACACACTAAAGCACATATGTAAAACGATCTCTTCATAATCAATTTGTTGAAAAGGAAGAGAAATAATAGCAGCAAGTGAGAATTGAACCCACAATCCTTTGTATGGGAGTCCTGTGCCCTACTGAACTAAACAGACAATTAAACGATAGACTGATTATTTTCTGGCCCGCCGTCTACTGACTTTTTTTTGGGCCGATGCCACACAGTTTTTTACTGCTGAATTTACATTTGCCTTTAGAATTAGTACATTTATTATAAAGTACTTATTTTGTCTGAAGATCAAGTGAATGCACAGTGAGCCATTTGTTGCAATTTGCAACCCTCACCACTAGATGCCACTAAAACTTACACACTGAACCTTTAATATTCTCCTTTGTCTCCATGTCTGATATGTAATATTCTTGCAAAGATTTCATCTATTTTATCCACGATGTATAGAGCTGCATCACTTTCTAAAACTTTCTATTATCCTCCGTGGTCTGGCAGGTGGATTCCTGGCCCCATGATTATTTTTTGAAGTGCTTCAACACAGCAGAATGAGATTGAACTCAATCCCTCCTCTCCATTTCTCTCTCTCTCTCTCTCTCTCTCTCACACACACGCACACCCCACGTACCATATGTGGGCGTGGTGCAGTACACGGGCTCTTCCTCTTCTCGCCGGCGAGTCTCTTGATCCAGGAAGGAGTTTGGTGACTCAGAGCGCTTGGCAACGCTGACGCCACTGTGGTTGCGAGATACCTCATCTCCAGACAAGGCTCCGGTCTCATCTCTATGGCAACAACAGAGGATGATTTACCAGCAAACACATGAACATCCAACAAGTCAAAGCTCCTCTTTGCTGTCGCCACTTTCTTGTCAGCTGAACTTTTGTCTTTGAAAGTACACGGACACTCTACCTTGGTGTGTATGGCTCAGCAGGTGGAGGAGGGATGTGAAGATCCTGGAGGGCAGAGCTCTTGGTGGGTGTGCCAGAGGGTGTGGCCGAACCGCTGCCTGGGCTTCTGGTTGGCTGCAGAAAGCAAAAGCGGATATTTAAAGATCTGTCTTGAATGGATTTATGATTTGAGATATGATTTTTGATTTATTCAAACTTATAATAACTGTTGGAGCCAATGTGTCTGTGACGTAGTGTCAACAAAATGGTTATGGTGCTGGCTCTCACTGTTCACGATATATAGCACCTGTTTGGATGGCGTAGGGCACAACAGTTCCAACAACTCAAACATAATTACAAGATAAGGATAATCCATTAACAGCAAGACTACACTAAGTCAGACTACACGTCCACAGCGCTTCAAAATCACTGTAACCGAACATGAATACCGTAAAAATTTGATGAATAGCCTGGGCTTTTATTTACTAAAACCACTGAATTGACCCTGCCTATATTTGGGGACAGGTTTCCATATGGGACAGGCCTTTAATTCCTCTTGCACAAAACTGAAATAGGCTACTATAAAAACAGTTTATTTATTTCAAACGGTATGAATATTAGTTGAATAAAAATGATCAAATAATATCAAATACACGTCATTTATTTGATCTAGCTCCGACAGACAGTAGGCAGCAAGGAACCGAAAACAACAATGCGTTGCAGGATGAGAAAAGTGTGGCAGAAGTTAGCAGACAGAGAGAAATGGACTTCACATGACAGTATTCACAACTTGGATTCATTTTTGTGAAAAGCTGTTTGATCATCTCAGGGGCCTCAGAGTGATACAGCCGAAGGAGATCTGAAATATACGATGGAGCCAATCCATGTAATGCCTTAAAAACACTTTAAAATCCTTAAAATCAACTCTATATGTAACAGGCCTTCCCAGTGAAGAGAGCAGATATGGTCCCTCTATCTTGTACTAGTCAACAATCTAGCCGCCGCATTTGAACAAGCTGCAAGCGTGATAATGATGAGTCACAGATGCCGGAGTACAATTGCAAATCAGGAAAATATAAGTGCATGTAAAACAATCTCCAAGTCCTCAAGAGAGAGAAAGGATTTTAGTCTTGCAATTAAAAAGCTACCTTTGACAACAGAATTAATTTGTTGGTCGAATTTTAATGCTGAATTAAAGATGACGCCTAGAATTCTTGCAGAGGTTGCACATTAGTGGACAAGCGCCCCACACTTTTAGATAGTTCAGCAACTGAGTAATAAGCCAAAAAAGATCCTTTAAGAGACATGACTAAAGTGGTCACACAAGACAAAACACTGATGGAGGGCAGAGAAAAAAACTGTTTCCCTTTGTGTTTCCTCCTGATTGTGTAGATCATCAAGTGTTAATTAGGGAGATACATTTCATAATTCGCAGAGCACTGGGAATGTGGGTGGATGGTGCCATCAATTTTCATTTCCCATTCATTCCAGTTTGTTTCAGCTGGCAAACAAAACCATGCTGAGCCACAGTACCCTGACCTAATTACACGCTTTGGCTGCAGTCGTTCAGGGAGTGGGAATGCTGTGGGGAATTATGTGGGCCAGTGCAGTGTTTTAATAAAGTCTATAAAAGGTAGAGCTGGTCCCACCTGCAGAGCTAGGGGTTTCCAACGCATGTTCTTCAGCAGTGCAGGGGCAGAGCTGAGCGTGCTCTGCGGACGCTTCTTCAGGGTCAGGGACACAATGCCTTTATCGGCCCTCAGCGAGCCGACCAGGTTACGCAACTGCCAGCCCACCTGTGGACGGGAGAGGACAGTGGGGAAAAGAGGATGATTATCCATCAGCTGGGTAATGAAGAACACAATCACAGCGTTATGTTAAGCCCGTAGTTTGAATTCGGTCCATGTCGTGATTGGATCTCGCTTGTTGAGCCTTCTGTGCACGACAAGTGGGTGTGGAGGTGGTAAGTCTATCTATAGAGATTTCTGTGATGTAACCTGCCCTCAATTTGAAAACAAATGCATCTTATGATATATCTTCCTACGTTTTTAGCTAGTGTTTTTCTTTGTGTGTAGAGGAATGTGCGAACAAAAACCTACGGTATACAAATATAAAAATGGCTACTATAAAGGTCACCAGTTGTTTTTTTCTTAAAGACTCTCTTTTTGACCTTCTCTCATCTGTGCCATGTGGGGAGATATTTTCCAATTAAGGCAAACACACTATCTTAATTGCATTTACTGGATTGACCTGAGATCTGATCATATTGCAAGAGGAGGTGCAGAGAGGGTTGGAGGATCTTATTATACTCATTGCAATGCCAGCCACGTGCATTTGTACATCTTGTAGGGTGGTGATGGGACAGTGGATGAGACACATGGCTTTGGTGTGAGAGACCCGGGTTCAACTCCCCACTGTAACCCATCCACCAATGTGTCTTTGAGCAAGACACTTGACCCCTAGAGGCGTGCGACCTCTGACATACATAGCAAGTGTAAGTTGCTGAATGAAAAAACCAAGGGCATCACTTTGTGTTGAAAAGTGGTGGGGACATTTAGGGGTGAGACAAAACAATATTGGGATCAAAAATATATCAATGCTATTTACAAACAATATATATGAAATAGGCTATTTGATTGGGGGGCCAAGATTTTGAGCATTAAACTCTTAATTTCCTGCATTCTAGAGACATTTTCTGCACCAATTTATGGTGGAAATGTCTTTATTTATATGAAGGGAAACAAAATTCATGTGGCCAGTGACAAATCAGAATATAAAAATATTATCGAATATAATGCAGTAATCAGCAGCTTGTTTTTTTAGCCTAACTTACTTTTTTGGACAAGGCAGATTTGTTTCTTCTATATTTACATTGCATTTCATGTTTTCCTATTGTGCAAGTAAACCTTTCTTATAGAATCTTTATTTGTTATTTAACATTTTTTGTTGCAAGCTAATTTTCAGAAAACTTTTAGCAAATGCTTTCCAAAAGTGGTGAGGACAAAATCAGTCATTTTCAAAAAGTGGTGGGGACATGTCCCCAGCGTCCCCGGTGTAAATAACACCTATGCCTACCACACAAATTCAAGGCACATAATTGCAACTGGTTTTAGATGCCAATTTGATTTACAGGTCTTATAATACAAGATAACACTTTGGGAAAACAACAAAATCTTACCATAAAATATTTTCTGGTGATATTAAACATGTAGTAACTGATTTTTGGGACACATGGACCAGCAGAAAGATGCTGTGAACACAACGTTGTCCTTCCAACATTTTTTAAGTTGCTATAGTTAACTTGTTAAGCACCTAACAAATGTAAGTCCAATATCACCTCTCTTTTAGCTGTTTTTGGGCCCACAAACTAAAACAAAAGGTGAAAGAAAGAAAAAAGCTTCCTACTGTAGAGCTGAGGGGATTCTGTGGCAGTTATCTTTGGATTGATCATTTTGAGTGACCTCTTTCACATTACACATTGTCATCTGATTGATTGTTATTATAAAAATATTGATTACAGCAGCTTTAAATGTTTGTTTGCATCGGCAAGATATGTAAAAACAGGCACACATATATTATATTAATATAAGAAACATGCAAAATATAGTTTTTGCATCTATAGATCAAATTCTTCAGTTATATGTGTTGATACACAGAATAAAAAAAAGAGGGAATGGCCCTTTAACAAGCAATTGATCCCAATCATTTCAATTAGATATAAGTGCACTTAACACACACACAAAATCTATAGATGATCACCTGAATAAACACAAAAAGATATATTTAGAACATACAGGCAGCACACAAGCACAGTAAGAAACCCACCACAGTCTGGTGATTGACTTGAATGACTTCATCCCCTGCATGGATCTTCTTACAGCGGTCAGCTGGAGACTACAGAGGCACAGAAGACAGAGACAGAAGGAAAACAGACGACTGTGAATTGATCTGAGTTTATTGATCTCCGCACACCAGTGTGGGCAAGCTGTTCAACAAACTGTACTTCAATACACTACAATATAGCAGAGGGAATGCCTTGCAGAGTCACCCATGTGGAATCTGAAATGCCGTTATGAATCCAAATGTTGTCAGTTTTGTAGATATTCTTTGCAAGAATCTGTTTTCTATAACCTTCAAACCCCCGGGCCTGGTGGGAAATCCACTTCTTTGGTGTTTGTGGGAAGTATTAAGAGTGAGAGTATTACTGGTGCAGATAAAGCTAACTGCTCAGCTGTGGTTCAGTATTTGAACGTGTTGAAGTGGGATTGTGAGCCTCTTACCCCTTCAGTAGTTCCTGTGATCACATGGAGGCCGTCATAGGTTGACTTGATGTACATCCCCTGATGGACAGGGAAGGAAAAAGCTAAAAAGTTTTGTTTTGTTGTTTAAAATTTAGTGTCTAATCTGAATCTTTTTGATTCCCTTATCTTCTTAAATGTTATCTAGGTTTACATTTCAACAACGTCAAGTAACTAAAAGGTAAAATAGCTACACCTCACATTTGTCTTATCACCTTTTGCTAGCCAGAAACACTATTGTTTTTAGTGGCAGCCTAATTAATGTTCACAACCTGTACCTACAGCCTGAAAATTCGATGAGGAGCAGAATATATGAAGTGTTAATTAAATGTGTCTGACACATTAATTTAACAGCTGTTGGCTTCTGTGCTTCCTGATTCAGAACCACAAAGTTGATCAGATTAAAATGATGAAAACTAGAGACCAACAAAAAGACAGACAAACAGAACCTGAAATAACCGGCCACACACAGTTTATAACATACTAAAGCCCAGTAGACAGCGTCATTACCAGGCCTTCAGAGGGTTTGATGTTGGTGAGGTGAACCAGTTCGAGGTGGGCTGACTGAGAAACCAGCGGGTCTGACGACACGCACACGATGTGCTCACACACCTCCGACAGAGTCTTGCACTACAGAGATGAAGAAAACCAGAGAGGACAGGTAACAATACACAGAGCTTTTATAAAACAGGTTCACCAGCTGTGCTTTATTAAGAAAAAAGAGATAAAAACAAAAGAAGAACATAAACAACCTGTACACCTTGTGTTTGTCAGATTTAGGGCATTTCTAATCAATCTTTTTAGCTTCATGCCACAAAGGATGTTAAAGATTTTTTTTTTTTTAATGTTTTCTATTTGGCTTTACTGAGAATATAAACACATCTTCCCTCATAATCTTTAATACAATGCATGTGTTAATGCAGAATTGACTTTGTTAGAGGCTGCCACCATTAACACAGCTAACTGCACTTTAAAGGGGTCAGTTCACCGAAAATTACAAAAAAGAGAACACATTTTCTTATTTACCTGAAGTAGTATCTAGCTATACAGTTCGTTTTATTAGTCCAGTGTTCTCAGATATTAATCCTCTAAAATAGCTGCCTCGGTGAGTATAATTTGCCGTGCCCACAGCATTGAAAATGTACATGTAAAAATTATTCAGATTATTTTTTTGCATAAACAACCGCAGACTCCCCACAACATGCTGTCACACTTCCCTGGTAGAAAGTAGTTTGAATAAAAACTGCTGACAGCACTGATAATCCACAAAAGTAGCTCCCAAACTTCCTCAAAACACATTTACAAAAGACATAAAGATTCTAGCTGTTTTGACCGTGAACTCAAGAGCATGATGAGCCTCATTATATTTTGCTCCATTTGTTGTTTATTCCCTTTCTCCGTAGAAAGTCTACACTTCACATTCCTTCATTTTGGTGAATACATTTTGCCTAACCTGAATCTGGAGGGCCTTGCTAGCAGCGCAGCACTCTTTGTTTCTGTCATCCCCAAAGGAATCAGATTCACAGAACTCTTTCACAGCAGACGTTTCGACTTGCCATAGCAGGTGAAGCTCAGGTGGAACTAAGAACATTAACGATTGCGATGCAGCGATTACTGCAATGCAACTCGGTAATTAGTGAATGTAGAAACACCTGTGTTTGACAAGTCAAAATGTCTGCCGTGAAAAAGGTCAATTACACAATAGCTGCCCCCTGTTTTGGCTGTTTAAATGATGCGCCTACAAGGTTAGCTGTGTGCCAGAATAACATAATTCTGCCGATATTATGTGAATGCAGCATTAAGTATGGAGCTCCAGCCAGGAGCCAGAGGTTAGCCTAGCTTAGCATAAAGACTGGAAGCAGCACTTCTAATGCTCACAAATGAACATATTATTTATTTATTTTTTATAAACGGCACACAAACAAAAAAGTAAAAAAAAAAAAAAAAAAGGTTTTTGGAGGAGACGGTGAAGACTTAGGTAAAGACACTGAACTTTGGACAGAGCCAGGCTAGTAGCTAATCACTTTTTGACTGAAGCTTTACATTTAACAGACGAGAATGATATTGACCTCCTCATCCATCTCTTGGCAAGAAAGCAAAAATTTCCCAAAATGTCAAACTATTTCCCTTAAAATACTGCTGTAAAGTTTCTTTACAAAGTTGTGAGTTTCTGTGTTTGTGGAGTATTGTGTGAGTGGGTATGAGGCGACAACAACTACAACAACAGGACCCGTCAACACAGCAAATAAGCGACAGCTGGATGAGGTAGCAGGACTCACCACATGAAGGATTTTGTTCTCCGTCTCAAACACCGTACAGTCCTGGGGGAGAAGCAGAATTTAATGTAGCGCGAGCAGAACATCCTGTCTTGCAAAAACTCAAAAACACAAACACCATCATGCTGCTGCTTCTGTATACTGTCTGGGCCTCACATTACTGAACCCTGCACCTGCACACTCTATACCCTCGCAGAAGGAAAATACGCCCACACAAACAGACACGTTTAGCTTTTATTTACACACACATCAGTCACACAAAAGACAGACTGTAAGGACATAAATAGCGAAGAATTGAGTTTCGCTCAAGGATGCAGAGAGCAGAGTCTGCTGCATCACACCCACACACACCGTTCTTAGGGGAATATGACAGCCATGGCAGAATACGAGCTATCAGCCTTCATAAAACACACACAAACAATTCCACACACCTGCTGTACAATGGTGGTGAGCTCCAGGCAGAGCTGAATGACATTATTTCGGGTTACTGAGTAGTCTGCCACTGCAGCAAAGGGAGACCTGGGAGGAACAGATAACACAGCAGTAGTCTTCAAATGTTGCTGCTGCATTAGATACTGTACAGAGGAGATGGACAGGAGCATTGTTAGAGAGGCAGATGTTGTGTGTTCGCGCACACAGACACACAAATTTATAAGTAGTTTTACAACTCAGTCATGAGATTATATGTGACGTTTGTTATAAATCAGAGACATCGCTGATAACGAACTCATTTCTTGAATTGATTAATTTAATTTAGTTACAGATGACTCGCCTTCAATTATTTGTTATTTTGTTTCATTTTTGCTATAACATTTAATAAAATATAAGAGGTTATCATGAACAGGTGATTGCATATGAAATGATTTATCACCTCATTATCAGAACTTATTTTATTAATTACTAGGGCTGAAACGATTCGATAAAATCGATTCATAAAATGCTTCGACACAAATTCTTTGCATCGATGCTTCGTTTAATCCATGTAACTATACAGCACAGTGTTTATGTTTGCTGTATGACACACTATGAATTTCCGATAGGACTAATAAATATCTATCACCTATAAATGTGCACAGCTGATCCCGTAACAGGGGGGGGGGGGCGCCGCCGCCAAGCACATTGATGAATCGTTGAAATAATCTATAGAAGCTTCGAATACTAAAATCATTGTTATCTGCAGCCCTATTTATTACATCCGGTATATTTATCTGTTTAGTTAAAAGTTTGATGTTGTGGTTCTCCTTTGAAATACTTTAGTGTTAATTTGGGCTGCAGCTAACGATTATTTTCACTATCAATTATTTTTTAGATCTATTAATTATTTGTTTTCTCTGTTAAAACTGCATTATCCCAGAGCCCTAAGTGGCTAAATTACTCTTTGTCACAGACACAGGTTGCCATTTCTCTGTGATTAGTTGCCAAACATGAAGAAGGCTGTCTTGTCTGATAACGATCTATCCTGAAGTACTTAGGTTTAGTTTCCATCTGCATCTATTTGTTAACATAAATGAACCGATCCTTTCTTGTTGTTTGCAACCACAGCATGCAGTATTTGTTGTGGCTTGTTAGTAACTGGTACAGCCAGAAGACTTGTTGATAATTAAAGACAAATAAATTAACCAGCACTTACTGTGCTGCGACACCAAGATATTCAATTTACAATCATGTTTAAGAGAGAAAAGCAGCAAATCATTACATTTAAGATGCTGGAAACCCGACGTCAACATGTGGCATTTCTCCTTAAAATACAAATATTGTTGACTGCTTAGAGGCTCAAATAATCGATTAATGAACTAATTTCTGTAATGGAAAAGAATAAAAACAACTCTCAAATAATGTCATCATTGCAACGTATAGTTAACTTTAAAGAGTTAATAAGATGGACTACGGACAAAGCAAATATTGGAATCATAATAGGGTACTTTCATGGCAATGAATGGGCCTGATGCCCCACTTGTATGTTACTGATGCACAGCTGAAAAGTATGCACAATCAAATATACTGCTCACCTACATGCATTTTTCTCTCTATAAACACTTGCACAGGCCTCACATGCAATCCCCCTTTAACTGCTACAAAAATTTAAAAAAACGATCAGTGAAACAACACAATGCATATAAAAGTTTGGTTGGTCTGTATTGCTCAGAGGTCATTGCTCTTGAGTGGGACCATTAACATTGATGCATCCAAGGTCATGAATGAGCGTAAATGCTCATAAATAAGACAACATTTTGTATGAACTACCAGCTCAGAAATCCAAACCATTACAGGTGCGTTAAAGTGTACACTGGAGAATACTGCCCCTGACACCTGGCTTCTTAAAGTGGAGATTCAACGGTGATGGTCTTCCACAGAGGGAAGGGGACACTGCTCCAGTGGAAGGGTGAATAAAGCTGCATTAGAGAACCAGGTAAATAGGAATGTTTTGAAAACCCACAAACAAAAAAAGCACAGTTTAGGCCTTGCCATTCTTTTAGAAAACTTTTTAATGACTGAAATAAACAGTGTGTGGAGGGTTATTAGACCATTGTGGATTTATTAAGCTACTTTGCTACTGGCACCATTCTCAAAGTCTCCCGCATGTTTGTATGCACAGTCAGAGTTTCCAGTGAAGTGTGAGCATTCTGCTGTCGGGTTTGTTGAGACAAGGGTCCTTAAAGCCTTTTTTTGTGCAAACACAATGTATATAAATGAACGTGACACAGTAGACTATTCAGGTGTGAACAAGGTGGCAGTGATAAGGAACATGCTGCAACTAATGGAGCGTTAATGAATGGATACAGACACAAAGGGACATCAAAATGAATATTACTGATATGGGGCACATCGTTATCAAAACACACACAAAGACACACACCATTACTTCGCATCACTGTTCTAAACACCCAGATTTAAATTCGGCCTCTGGTGTGTGATGAATCTGTGGTGTGTGTGTGTGTGATTTGGGTCATCAGTATTGAGGCTGTGTGCTATATATAAGCAGGACCTAAGGCTACACAGACTGTTTGCTAACTATCAGGCTCCAACCCTCAAACAACACTGAGAAACCTTTTTTTTTTTTTTTACAGCTCAGACGATGCTGTGGCTAAACAGACCTGTTTCCAATTGTGTGAGGTGAAGTACTTTAAAGTACTAAAACTTCTTAAGAGTCATAACTCTAAAATCTAACTAAAATCTGACTACACAGATCGCGTATTTTTAGATTTGGTGTGTTACACTTGTTACAAAAATAAAGACCCATATATCCGCCTAGAAATCAGAAAAAAAGACACTCCAGAACTTTCCTGACAATCATCACACTTTTAAGTTTTCTTTGTTATAAAAGTAATCAAGTGATAGTTGTCTGTACATTAATGGATACACAGCAAACATGAACTGCTAATAGCTAATTCGGCATACTTTTAATGGTGCCAAAATGTAAACAAATATAAGCTTACAAAACGGGGATCTAATTGTGTCCCCACAGCTAACTAACTGACTGCATGGAAACATTATACTTCCTTTTTACGTCTCCCAAAGCATTATGGGAACTGCAGCCCCCAAATTGAAGCAAGACAAAAATGAATAAGAGTGATTAAAAAATTATTAAAAATCACTTTTTTCATGTTGCATTATCAACATCATTAATGGTTTTTGGGTTATTTTTTGGGGCATTGTTTGATAGGACAGTGGAAAGAGAGAGAGTGAGAGAGAGTGGGTGACACGCAGCAACATGCGGCAGGCTGGGCTTGAACCACGGATTCTGCAGTAAGGACTCAGCCTTGTACATGGCGCACAAGTTCTATCAACTGAGCTAATCGCTAAACCTTTTTTGGATACTTTTAATATGTTTTATTGTTAATATTTGTACAAGTACCAAGGGGTCTGGTCCTTCAACATACCAATGTTACAGAAAATACTTATCTTAACTTGACAACTAAAACATAGAGTTACATAAAATGACTAAGTCACCATTTCAAATCATTGCACAAGGTAAACTGCAGGTACAATAACACTTAACGTTTCTTCTCTTTTCTCAGCTAACTCACTGTTGGTTAAATAAATACTCTCTAGGAATTATGTACACTTTTTCAATTCAGTGCCAATGTATGACTGTAAGTACTGTGTAGCAAGAGACTTTGGCATTGGATGAATAAAAAGTCAGCATTGTAATCTTGGGTTTTCCAGAATCATCCAGAAGTTACGCTGTACTGCTATATGCACCAAACTGGTGAACAACGTGAACAACCTTTTCTACTTCATACAACTGTAAAAAAAACTGGACACTCATTTCACCACAACCATTCTTTTCTTCTGTGGTAAATGGCAGTTGTAAAGAAGAGATAATACACCTGAAGGTGCCCCGATATAGTCATGCCATTGTTCTCCTCCACCTCATCTGATGCTTGGATATGGTGTCTTACAGCATACTGTGACTAATACAAGAAGAAAGATCACCAGAGAAGAGTCTATATTTGAGGGCAGAGGAAACCCTGAGTAATGGTAAAACTAGTGAGCTCACTTTTTAACGCATCTCCACCGTCTTCCAGACCTCCACACTTCTCTCTCACATTTCAAGCTTTTACAACTGTTTTTTTACAAGCTTTACAAATATATCATTACAATAGTCCTAAAATTATTTCACTTCTATCGAGGAATTATCTTGAGGAAAAAAAACACACTGCGATCATCTGACACTAACTAGTGGTGGAAGAGCTATTCAATCCTTTACTTGAGTAAAAGTACTAAAGTCACAGCGTAAAAGTACTCTACTACGAGTAATAGTCCTTCATTCACAATCCTACTTAAGTAAAATTACAGAACCACTGGTAGCAACATTTACATTTTTAACACTGATGCATTATTGCTTGAGAGGGTTTTTACTGTGGAAGTCGTGGTGGAGCCAGTTTTAAGTACAGTTCTCCAGACCCTCCACAGAGTCACAAGATAAATCTGAGGGTTCTCGAGATGATTAATGGCAGAGGAAAACACATACACAAATCTGTTTGTGAAATATTGGAGAGTTTGCCCTATCTTGGCCTTGAACAGTTACTTAAATTAAACTATCTGCAAAGTTTAAAGGGGAAATCACTCTGAGGTGGAATTGCTCACAACTCATGGACTCATGTAATAAGAGGCCCCAAGTAGACTCTGCATTTTTGTACAGGGTCACAAGTCAAAAAGGTTGGGAACCACTGGTTTAATCTTAAACAATGCGTTGTATTTTATTAGCATACCCAATGTTTTTATGCAAAATTTTCATCTAAAAAAAGGAACTCTAGCTATCAAATAAATGTTGTGGACTAAAAAATACAGTATTTCTCTCTGAAATGTAGCAAGAAGAAGCTAGTTGAAGTATGCAGTAATGGAAACACTTGAGTAAAGTACAAGCAGCTCAGAATTGTACTTAAGTACAGTAGTTAAGAAAGTCATTTTGAACTATTTTGAGGGACTGCACGGTGGGTAGTGTTGATTGTCTTGATACCAGCCAGCCATATATCCCCTATATTTTAAAAAAAATTTAAAGTGCTCATTCACTACATTGGTTGTATAGAAATAGAAATACTACTACTGTATTTTTAGGCTATCAGCAAAATACACACATATATTCAGCCTCTAAGGCCATGTTATTAATTCATAGGTAGGTGCTTTCAAATGTGCATATAAAGAGGAAATGAAATGTTCAAAGAAAGGGAAATACTGCAAATATCAAACAAAGGGAGATACTGCAAATTTCAGTCATTATGAAATGACTATTTCACTTTTGTCCCCAGCAGATTTAAAGGACGGGGTTGCCTTCTGCACAGTTTGATGTCTGCATGGCGTTTGTCACTACAGAGAAAGAGAAAAGTATCTCGGTACATCAAGGCATCAGAGGCAGGAAAGAGATGATCTGTGCTGTACCCACGCTGTTATTTTATACATGAAAAGGTTGCAAAAATGACTTCTAAGTCTTTATGAGAGAACTAGAATGTGCTGTACATTTGCTGCCTGAGCGCTGAACTGATGTTGCACTTTCCCTCCATCCCCGAGCGGTCTAATAACTAGCAATCAGGGAGAGATGAAGGTTCAGTTTTAACACGATTTATGCTAATTTGTTGCTGTAAACCTTTCAGGAAGGACTCATCTTGCTGGTATTAGTACAAGACCGACTGTAGCCCGACATACTTGGAAATCATAACCTTTTCCACATAGTTAGGGTGTATTCATGAATTCAACATATCATTCACCACGCAGCTTTATTGCACTAAAACATTACTCGCTCATATATTATTCCTAGGCAGCAGGAATCAATTTTAGAAGATGAGATTTTACTGAAATAAAAGCACCGAAGGGATGATATGCATGTTATATTTACCGGTGAGCCCTCACACAGCTGTAAAATGTTCTTTTCTTCACGTGTTTTGTTTGTAATACGCATGATAAAAACATAAAAAAAGGAGTCTTTGACAATGCCTACACGTAGATTTGTTTCAAGAAATGAAGAATAGAGAGCATGAAGCGCTGGCTCTGCTGAGTCTATCCCTTTCTCAACGTCGCTTTGCCATTTACAGTTGCATCATTGTGCGTGGGCGAACGCGTGTGCGCTTGCATAAGTGTGTGTCAGTGCGTGCGGATGTGTGTTTGTACGAGTGTGTGGGTGTTTCTATGGGTCTGAGAGTGCTTGTGGACGTGACTCTATATACTTTTGTGTGTCTAGATGGCCTGAGGACAGATGTGGGTGCCCGGCATTTCAAGAACTGAATGTCAGAGACCTTTAGTTCTGTTTCTGATGTGTGTCGTGTGCAGGAGATCGAGTCGACTCATAAATAAATGAAGCGACAGAGAGGAGAAGAGAGAGCAAGGGAGAGACGGAGAAACATGGTGAGAAAAATGGTCTGACATTATCCCTCAGAAGAAAAAAAAACATTTCTCAAAAGACGACAACAACCAACAGCTGCAGAAGAGTTTATGTTTTGCAGATTGAAGCTTTAGTTGTACAAACAAAACAAACAAAAAAGGCTCTACAGGCTCTGGATCAAAGATTTCAACAGAGAAAAGACTTATAACTCTATATTATGTATTATGTACATGAGGGCTGCCTGCAGTTAATGATTATTTGAAAATGTCCATAATAACTTCCTTGAGCGCTAGGTGACATCTTCTGTTGTCTTATATATAATATATTATATATATATATATATTTAAAAAATAAGAAAATTTAAGAACCCTGTGCCAGTTAACTTTTGGGCTTTTTGCCTGAAAAATACAGTGTTGGTACTGTATGTGTTCGACTAATTGCTCTATTTTTATTTCTATTTATTCATTTTTATTTTATTATATACTTGTGCTGCTGCAACACCTGAATTTCCCCTCTGCGGATGAATAAAGGCTTAATTTATCTTATCTTAAACAATTAATACATAATAAAATTGTTGCCTAAAGAATTATTAATTTGTGTCAATTAACTAATCAATAATTTGGCTAATCATTTAACTTACAATATAAATTAATTTATACAAACTTCTTACTAAAAGGAGCTTTCTTATTCTGAAGCAAAAAAAAAAAGTGATCTAAAAAATATGCAACTTCCTGCTACAAAACAAACCAGGTCAGAGATATCAGGAATTTCTGACAGTGAAAATATCTTCTGAAACTGCTGGCAGTTACATAAAATCAAATATTAACACTAATAAAATGAATTCAGCTCTTTTAAAAGGAGCTATGCACTCTTTGTCAGTTTTTTTTTTTCATGGCTAGCAGTGGATGTTCTTCCTATTATGAGTTTGTGAATGCAGCCAAATTATACCTCTATTATTCATGCCATTAATGGGCCTTTTTCATGAAAGATAATTTGACATGTCACTGTTGGAAAAGCACAGCTGTAAATAATAGTGATGTCTGAGCCATTGGTAATGTTATTAATAACTCTTGTGCTTTGCCTTTTATAAGAAATAGTTACCCTGCTGACAACAACAATAACAATATTACAATAATGAAATAACTAATAAAACAGAGGATCTCAGTGACAGAGAGCCTGTAAACATATTACCTGTCCAGCCAGGCCAGCAGGCTCTTGGCGGCTGTGATGAGGTCAACCACGGAGGTCAGCAGATCATTGGGGAGCCGGCGCGAGGTCCTGCTCTCTGATTGGCTGCTTCGGCGGCGGCCGGAAATGAAGTTCTGTAGATTTTTGGCCGAGGCGCCGAGTTTGTGAGCCAGAGTCCTGACGCTCTCCGTCTCCAGACCTGAGTTCTACACACACACACACACACAGACAGACATCAACAAAGATTAGCCAAACCTCCAGACAGTGAACCACCTCGAATACAAATTAGCATCTTATTTGTCAACATGTTTACCAGTTTTTCGTAAGGAGTCTGGTGCATATTAATGACTCACATTACATATTTGCTAGAAAGAAGGTCAGCACAGTGACTGCAATGAGGCAGCACCGGGCACACAACAGAAATTATCAGTCTGTTGCGATTTTAAAACACCCTAACTCTTTATTTATTCACATTTACATCCAGTTGAAGTATGCAGGAATGTTGTCAGTGTTGTCAAGATTATTGGAACAACATATTATACAATATAATAATGACAATACATTGGCAAACAGAAGAAAGACGACACAACAAATTACAAACTCTTCAAGAAGAAACCTCCTAGTTTACATGTCACTTTTGGTTAATAACAAAATCAACTTGTTTACTTTAACCATTTAAATAGTAGGTAAGTGTCTCTTTTAGGGCTGTCCCCGACTAAGGATTTACATAGTCAAATCAGAATAGTCAAGTCCTGCCTATAGTGGACTGATAGGTAAATCATGTGTTTTTTGGGGGGGGGGCTACAGAGGGTAGCTCCGCTTTAATCTTGAGAAGCTGCAGAGCTGCAGTCTATTCATTCAATTTACACTGTAAATTTACAGCTGAACTGAAGCTTATTGAAGACCCTTTTCTCTCTGTCCCCTGTCATTCACCGGTCTTGTGCAGAGTTTTGCTTGCATGCGTGCTGCCGACATCTGCATGCACGTGGCGGTTCCTCCCCATGCAGTCTATTTCAAGTAGCCGGTGTTGTGCCGAGTTTTGCCTTCCTGCCGAGAATTGCATGCGCCTCAAGACGCGCTATAATATTCTTTGTGGGGTCCATCAATGGTGTTAAATGATTCTAAGTATATATTTTATGAATGTTAAGAGTCTTTAGTATTTTAATACACTTAGTAGAAGTACCAGTCCTTGATATTCTGTAGGCTAAATATGTGGTGATAAGGCCATTTGATCAATGAGCACAGCAAAGTGTCTGAAAAGGACCTAAAGGGGTGGATGCATAATTCGGCAGATAAAATTTTGAAGGCTAACTTACCTGCCGAGATTTGCATCCACCTCTTTTTCACCATAAATGACCGTTAGGCCTATCACCCGCGAGGTGCATGCAATTCTCAGCAGGCAGGAAGAATTCAGCACAACACCTGTTGTGCCACTGGCTATTTAAAAACAATGTAATATTGTTTGTATGATTCATCAACGGTGATAAATTATCCGAAAGTCCCGCCAGGTGCGGCCAACTCAGCACAGCACCAGTGAATCTTGGGGTCCGTCTCTTCAACAAGTGTTCCTCTTCCGCCACACACACAGTTACGCCTACACTTGCGCACTGACGACCCAGGGTTAGGGTCACAATTTTGGATTTATTCACGCACTTTTAAAAACATTTATTGAAAGTTTTCTTCTTTTTACATGTTTATTAGGCTGCATATTAACTTTTTGGGAGAAAACTAGTAGTTCTATGTAAAATCAGACGTTGAGCACCCCCCACATCGCCAAAATGGCACATGATCTTTGTTTCGCTGCGAAGCTTGGACTGTGAGATTGACAGTCAAATCATTCTCCGCCCATTGAAGCATCAAATCTTCGACTATTTGGGGTCAGCCCTAGTCTCTTTTACTCTCCAGGCCTGGAGAAGTAAAATTTTCAGTTACTTTTGGGATTCTGGTGTTGATTACCTTAAAGTTACATGCAATAAATAACCCGATTTAAGTTGGACATACGAATCACATGATGACACACTGGAGCTTGTTAAATTGTGTATAAACGCACCATACCTATGCTCAAAGGTTGGTTTCAACCAATTAAATGTTTGAGCCAGAAATAAGACATTTAAATTCAAGAAATATGAAAATTTAGCTAATTATTACTCATTATCCAGTTGGGTTTAGTTTATTTAATAAGACAAACTCCCTCTGTAGCCAATAATTCCCTTCCAATCTTCTCATAGACCAATTTTTCACAGGTTGTCATTTTCCAGCTGTATCTTTCCCAAAACCTTTATTTTGGCAAAGCCCACACTTGGCAGGGATTTAAAGTGCAACTTCCAAACATTTTTCTTGTGTTTTGTTTTGGTTGCGACAATTGACCCTTCGCAGAGCCACGCCCCGAATACACAGCTGGCCAATCACAGCGCAGTATAGGACTCGCTCTAACTGAGGTCCGACACTTTCATGGCTGCATTTACTCTAATGCAAAAAGAGTCGTTTTCTAGCTTTTTTTGGCTGTATTTTTCTAAGATATGGTCAAACGCTGTTCCTGGGGCACTTGTTATAACTACAGTCGCTACCCAGAGAGGTTGAAAGGAGAAGTACGATTTATTCTCTTTCCAAAACCTAAAATAAATCCAGAAAAATAACTTCCTACTGAATGTAACATTATAAAGATCTACTGTTCTGCTTTTTAATGATTGTAATAATGAATAGAAACCTACCCAGCTGTACAGGAACAGTGTTGATCCTTAATATCGTTGTCTTTTGTCTCAATCGTGGGGAGATGCGGTGGTTCACTTGTAGGCTACTGTGTGATTGGTAGGCTTTAGCTTCTATCTTTCATTTTTTTTTCACGTCTGTTTGAATAGCCTGAATACAACCTTCAAATATATAATGCAACTGCAAAACTGTATGGCTCTTTCTGAGCTTTTTCCAACTAATTTGACAATATTTCTCCTGGGAGTGCAGTAATAGACAGCGGCAGCGCCGACAGTTTGTCGGACTAAGCAACAGTAACTAAGGGAGCTGGGGCTTGGCGAAGGGTCAATTGGGAGGATTGCAAGTTTTGATGCAGTACGGGAACAATTTACTTTCTGCAATCAATTTTGTTGTGCATTCAAGCAGAACATGAATACATTAACAGCTGCAGCTGTAAAGATGGGCTGATGAGAGTCCAGCACTGCAGTGAAACTACAAAACCAACACACACACACGTTTACCAGAGCACAGAGCAAGTCCACAGCCTCCAGAATGAGCTCCTGGTGTCCGATGCGAGAAACTCCCAGCTCCTCCAGCTCGGCGTGGCTAATCCTCAGCAGCCTCTCCCCGCACACACCCCCGCGCTCAAACACACACACATATTGCTGCAAGCAGTCGTCCAGACCTGCAACACAATATTATTAGGGTTATTCACAATAAGTACACTCAGATTTGTTACAAAACAAGATCACGACCACAATGAAGACAGACTAAAAAAAAAACAAAATGTGATGTTTGATGTCTATGATTGTTCTTCTTCCAAACTCCTCTGTAGCTAGTACACAGTGAACTAGTCGCATCCTGGGTTGACACCATATTTCCCATGATGCTTTACCATCTGGATTACCTATGTTACTGCTGGGAAAAAAACCTGTTTCATATGACAATTAAACTGTTTTTAAGAAATTTTGAGGAAAGATTTTCCTTATAGTGAAACAAAAAATCATTTTTTCATTGAAAACACTTCAAATAATCTTAACTGGCAGATTTATTTCACTTTGTTAAAGTAAATAAGCTGTGTTTTTGGCCAATCTGGGCGAGCAGAAACAAGCTGTGAACACTGACATATTAGCCCCTTTTAAGTTGATATGAATAACTTGCTAGTAAACAGTTGTTTGTTAACACATCCATCTGATACTGAGTACATTATCATTAATTTGGAGTGATGTTTGGAGTAATGGGGTGGTGATGGCGCAGTGGATAAGACACATGCCTTGGGTGTGAGAGGCACCAATGTGTCCCTGAGCAAGACACTTAACCCCTAGTTGCTCCAGACGCATGCGACCTCTGACATATATAGCAATTGTAAGTTGCTTTGGAAATAAACATCAACTAAATGAATAAATGTAAATGTTTCTGTCCATCTGATGAAAAAAAAGTCTAATATTCACTCCCTTTTAGCTCTGTTTAGGTCTCCACCAACTACTGCTGGAAATACAGTAAGTGGCCTCCCCCAGCTAGTTGCTAACTTCATTTGGTGCTGGTCAGGTTGCACAGTGGTTTTATCAGAGATTTTTTTTTTTGCTGATAACAGCTGCCTACTAGAAACACTGATGAGAGCGATTAGACCAAACCAAAACAGGAGTGGGTCGTAAAGCTTAAACATAGAGCTAAAAGGCACCAAAACGCTCCGCACAGCTGAGGTGAAATGCAGTCAAGTGATAACTACCTGTGGATTCATCACTACAAGCAAACCCTTTTACATTTACATCACGTAGTCATTTGAGCCATCACTAGTATAAAAATATTGATCAGAGCAGCTTCAAGGACTCAGTTACATACAACTGACTAAGGAAGGATATCTCTTGCAGCAAATGTATTTATGAACAAAACAAAGATCCAGAGAAGAAGAAGAGTTGGCAAACAAGAAGAGTCAAATAAGGTCAATGCCGGACTTTGAGTGATACTAATGGTGCTAATCGTGGCTACACTATTGGTTGAAGGTGTTTATAGCTACTACACTGCCTGCTATCATATCTGTTTTTATGGCTATAATGAAAATAGGAGAATACACATACGGCAGATAGAAATGACAGGCCCTAGGCACAGGAGGGGGACCTCATCTAAACAACACCATCACTCTTCATGACCGGGCCCACAGCTCGGACACTCTTTAACACATTCAATCGCTGATCAATAATCAGACATGTGTCTACTTGAAATTATAGGTTTTGAGCTGCATTCCAGAAGCACTGATCAGCTTTCGTTGCCATACGTTTCACCGGCAGGTTTCCCTCTTCAAAATCATCCTATAGGGAGGACAGATTTCTTTTAGTCTGCACAGGAAAATGCTAGACACATTTTTACTTATTCCAGTTTGTCTCACATAATACAGCAGCTGCTGTGTCATGTTTTTGAGACATATCAGCTTGTTTGCAGTTTTGTAGATTTCAGCCTGACCCTGTTTCAGAACCACAGCAGCATGAGGTAAAAGTATAAAATACAATTTGTTTTGAGAGATGCCTGCCAAAAAACAATTTTGTTCCTGTCCATCAACGAGCTAAATGTTTGACTTTGACCTGTTTCACCGTGAAATGAGGGCAAATGGAGACAGAAAAGGAAGACAGACACTCCCTGCTTCCCTCTCTGACACAGTACTAAAGTGACTGATAAAGATAGTCAACAATGTTTGGACTTGTATCACGGCCAGAAAGCTTTGCGACGCAAAATTGTACAGAAGCTCTCAACATCAATTTAGACAACCATGCCAGTGTTGTGCCGAGCATGTATTCTTATCATTTTTGTGGACCAATTTTCAAATGCATGGTGTATAGATTTATATTTCCAGACATCATCAATAGCTTCCTCCATTATGGGCTCTCTGTCCAGTAAGAGGTTGCCAGTGGTCAACTGTGCAAATTCCCGGGTCAAGGTTCACTAAACCTGAACTCGACTTTTGCAAAAAAAAAAATTTGTGCAAATTCACTCTCCAAAGGACCTAAAACAAACTCTGTACCTGGAACAAGAGTCAAGAGACTGGAACAAAAGAGTTAATGGATGGGCAATCAGGCAGCCACCCAGGTAAGACTTTACTCTCTGTTGGATTGTGTAACGTCTGTGTTGTGAGTGGGATGGTCTCTCTAGATCTGCAAGTGTGTGAGCGTGCAAGTGGGTGGGTGCGTGCATTGTTTGTGCGTGTGTGTGTGCGTTCATCTGGCTGGACTGGGTTTGCTGAGTCAAAGGAAAGCAGATCAAGACAGAGCAGTTCAGCTGCAGCCCCTGGCTCCCAAAACAATGAATGTATCCAGCTTCTAACCTCTTAACAAACAGCAAACTGGCACAGACACACACACACACACAGACACACACACACACACACTCCCAACACACACCTCTGAGGAATGAGCATTGATTTCCCTTGCTTCAAGTCCCCACTATATAATGCACTCATCTATCATAACCACACTAACAAAGATGGGGGGGAGTGTGGAGGAGGAAAAGAAGATAAAAAAAAGGAAGAAGGAAAAGAGGAAAAGAAAAAAACTCATAAGCCAGCTGCTAAATTGCATGCAAAGTATTTCACACACGCTCACACACACAGACAAATTCCATCTCTCATCAGCGACGTGCAAACAGCATTTGTTGCTTCCTCCCCCTCCCTCTGCTATTACATCTGAGGTCTAAATGAAGTGTTCAGTTCCAAAATGCCATATATCAAGCTCAGAAGCATAAGAAGTTGAGCCTGAAATCCATCAAAATTTCAAAAGCACGTCATTTTATCTTTAAAAACATAAATAAACAAAGCTCTTACGGTCTTTAAATGAAATCCTAGCAATCATTTTTAAAGATCTTTTCACCATTATTTCTCTTTTGAAGGAAACGCGATAAATTGACTCCGCTGTCTGAACCCGCAGTCGATGAGCGATATCTCGGCTTACAGCTTCCACTGACGAGCGTGGAAGGACTTGATAAGAATAAAGACATCAAACCACTCAGATGTGTTTTGTGTGGCTTCCATCTTTAGTGTTTGATGGAGGTCACTTGAGGTACAGTTAAGGTCCAGAGAAGGACTTAAATCATATCTTTGACAAGAGAATATGAATGTGTTTGGTCACAGCACATGATTGTATTGATACAAAATGGGTCTAAAGTAAATTGGTAAAAGTAAAGTGGAAAGTAAATTATTGTATTTACACATACACAATTTTGAGATACAACCTTTACACAGTATGTAAATGTATGTACATGTGTATATATATCTAATGGTTTATGTCACATTGGCTATGCCCACTTCTTTTATACAGTCTATGCTCAGCACCAGAAAACAGACACAGTTAGAGGCTAGTGAACACGGTGGAGCATTTAGCAGAGCAAGAGCCTGCTATTTCCTTGAGAAGTTTGTAGAAACCAAAAATAGAGTTAACAGAGAGTGAATACAGGACTTACATTACAACACGAAGTGAACACAAACACAAGGTGAACTATAATGTTGCTTCATAACTGCTGGATGTATAAATAAGCAACTGTTTGCTAACATGCTTGCATTATTAAAAGGTGATAAAATGACAGTATTGTGTTCACAAGTTGTTTCCGCCTCCCCCAAGTGACTAAGAAAATAAAATGAGTTGTTGCAGATTTAAGTATCCAAACATTATATTGGATAATTAAACTTTTACTATATTAAAATTACGCTTACATGTTAATGAATCATTAAGAATAATAATAACTGTTACTATACATGTTGCTGCTCATTACTGCGTAATTCAGATTCTGAATGCAGGACTTGTAAAGTACACTATGTGGGCACCTCTGCACTTTTGGTCTGGGGTTGTTTTTCATGACTTGGGCTAGGTCACTTACTTCCAAATAAGAAATAATCTTAATGCTATACAAGTGTTGTTTATAGCAACAGTTTTGGGAATACCCTCTCCTGTTTCAACATGACAACGCTCACATGCACAAAACCACTCTGTAAAGAAGTGGCTTTGTGTCGCCCAGCATCAATGACCGACCTCCCGACTAATGCTCTTATGGTTGAATAGGAGCAAATCCCTGCAGTCAGGTTACAAAATTTTATGGAGAGCCTTTCTAGAAAAGCGGGGGAGTTTATAACAGCAGATAATGGTTTTGGAATAAGATGTTCAGCAACCACATATGGGTGTAATTTTCAGGGATGCAGTGTATTTCTACATTGTTTGATTGGTATTTGTACTCATGAAGGCGTCTGAGCACTTTTTCCCTCTTAACAGCGAGACTTGTGTTTTAATGAGTGTTAATAGCGGCTGTTTCCTAATAGACGTGAAGCTGATTAAAACAATGTTGGCTCTCACAGGCAAAGTGTTACTATTGCTGAGAGAAGCAGAGAGAGGCAGAGAAGCAGAAGGGGAGATATACACTGTGTAGCAAAAGTTCACTGATAATCAGCGCTTATCACTGGCAGTGAGGGAGAGCGTGAATGCCCTGAATACTGATGCGTCAAATTGTGAGTGACATCAGCGAGGGTACACACACCCACAGAGACTGAAACAAAAACTGAAACAGTTATACAGAAATACAGTATAATGACTGCTGTAAAAGATTCACTCTTTTACTGCAGTGCAAGCTTTTTCATCAAATATACCCCCCACAGCCATTAATTCATCAACGCTGCCATTTATCTTATCCATTTATTCATTACTTTTAGTT